AAGTATAAATCCAGAAGAACTGAAACAAGTAGTTGAGCAACAATCAGGTATAAGTGTATCTATAAGAAGACTCAAATACAGGGATACTGGTAAGGGCATGCCTATAGTGGCTGCCACATGTAGTAATCATACTGATCTGTCTATCTTATTCAAAACAAAATTAACTATTGGTAATAAAATTTTGTTAGTGGAAGCAATCAACACAGCCAAGCACAAAGTAACCCGGTGCTTCCGTTGCCAATTTTACGGGCACGTGGCGAAGGCTTGCACTAACAAAGCTAAGTGCGAAAACTGTGGTGGTGCACATAAGAATAAGTGTACCAATTCAACTAAGTGTAACAACTGTGGAGAAAACCACAAAGCTAGCTCCAATAAGTGCATTTATTATATTGATTTAAAGCTCAAAAGGAGCACTAATGTATAGTAACTCCATAACTATAGTGGCTGCTACTCTCTTACTTTCTCTGCTAGTGACAATGAAAATATTCCAAGCTAACATACGTTCTATCAACACCTCGGCTAAATACATCAAACATATCTCTCCTGAAGCATCTATATTTTGCATTACAGAAATCTGGCACCCTACAGCTGAATCAATCCAAAGAGCCGGTCTAAAAGACTGGACTTGGATTTCCTCTATCAGACAAGGCAGGGAGGGGGGCGGGGCAGCCATTATAGCATCATCAGACACAAAGGTGGTAAAAAGAAATGATCTCATGAGAAATGACATAGAGGCAGCTTGGGCAAATGTCTATTGTAAAGACCTCGCTTTTCTTCTATGTTCAGTTTATATACCCCCAGGAAACATTGAATCATGGGATAAATTTTCTAGAGTGGCAACCTCTGCTTTACATAGCAAGCTTCCAGTACTTTTTACAGGGGATTTTAATGGGAGACATCCCTTATGGAATGACTGTTCTATTAACAAATTGGGAAGCACTATTGCAGAGTTTGCCATGATCCATGACTTACACATTTTCAACAACCATCAGTTCACTAGAAATGAAACTATCATCGATTTAACCATCGGCTCCGGCTCACTGACATCCAAGATCTCGGAGTGGGCGGTGCGGGATGAGATCTATTTGAAATCAGATCACAAACTTATCTCATTCAGCGTCGGCCAGGCCGGGAAGGAGGAAGTCAGGGAATATTATGATTTGAAAAATGCAAATTGGGAAAAATTTGTTTCTGAAATGGAAAAACTTTGTCTTAACTGGCAACAAAACGTTATTGCTGCCAATGTTGAAGAAGCTTACACCTCCCTATGCTCGATAATGCTCAAAGTCATAAACGACATCATACCTAAGAAAAAAGTTTGTTCTAAGAGCAAAGGGTGGTGGAACGACAATTTAAATCAACAAGTTAAAGCTCTGAGAAGGGCAAAACGCCGTTATAACAAGCGCAGTGACCCTCATAATTGGGAAACCTATACCAGGCTCGCAGAAGAGTTCGCAGAGAGTGCACATAAAGCTGAATCTAGCTATTGGGATGATCTCTTCGAAGAGCTTGATCTGGGTAACCCAAATATGATATGGAAAACTGTAATGAAAACTCAAACCAAAAAGGGTAAGAAAATAGTCCAACCAATTATAGATGGAAATGGTAACATTCATCATACCGATGAGGACATTGCAGAAACTATGGTTAAGCAATATGGCAAGCAACATCTGCCAGTACAGCGGTATGATGAATGGTACAACTTTGTTGTGAGAAAGGCCAAAGAATCTGTCCAACTTGAAAAAATCAAAATTAAAAACACTAATTACAATCAGACTTGCGAACCTTTTAACAAGGACATAGAATTTGATGAAATAATAGCAGCTATTGAGAAAACACCAGCTAAAACTGCTCCTAGTCCTAGGGAAAAAATTTTGAGTATTTTTATCAAAAAAGGGGGGATCACACTACATAAATCAATTTGGCTTCTCTCACAGAAATGCTGGGCGGAAGGTCAGCTTCCCCAGGAATTTAGAATTGATCCAAAGATTATGTTAGGTAAACCTAACAAAAATAACTATAATTCAGACAGATCCTATCGCCCTATAACACTTGAAGCTCAAGTTGGGAAAATCCTACAAAGGGTAGTCAGCCCAAGGTTATCATGGATAAGCGAGACTACATCCTCTTACTGTGCCTTCCAGGATGCTTACAGGGAACATAGATCCTGTTCACAGACTGTGATTAGATTGGTGCAGTCCATCCAGGAGGCGTGGAATAGAGGAGAATATGTCATCGCAGCAGTATTAGATTACGAGAGCTGTTTTGAACGGGTGTTTAGGGAGGGGCTCATCTACAAACTAGCCCAGAAGGGAATCAATGGACGCCTGTTAGTGTACATCAGTGAATACTTAACTAATAGGCAATTCTCTATATCTGTCAACAACCACACTACTCCCCTACTGCCATCAGTGGTGGGCATCCCTCAGGGGTCCGTGTTGTCTCCGCTTCTCTGTAATCTCTACACGGCAGACTCCATGGACAACATAGGGTCGGAGAAGGCTGGCTTTGCAGATGACAACACAATATGGGCATGTGGAGCTGACTTGAAAGAGATAGAGAAACTCATCAACACGGACTTGAATCAATTAACCAACAAATGGTGCAAAAGATGGAACATGGAGATCGCCCCTGAAAAAACCGAGGTAATGGTCTTCAGTCCACCTGGTATCACTAGCCCCGATATTAATATCTTTATCGACGGCCGGAAACTCCAGGTGGTGTCCCACAAGAAGATTCTTGGATGCACCATAGATAACGAACTTAAATTTAATCTACATATCGAAAATAAGAAAAAATCTGCATTCGGTGCTCTTGCGGGCATAAACAATTTCACTTCCAGCAAATCGGGCTGTAGCCAAGAGGTATTCACCATGCTGTACAAAGCGTTGGTGATACCGCACTTCGAAACCAGCATTAGTGCTCTGGCTGCAGTTACCGAGAAAGCTGTTTCTGCCTATGCACCAGTCCAGAGGGCAGCACTACTTAGAGCAACCGGATGCCTCAACTCAACTAGCACTGACTCATTAGAAGTACTGGCTGGTGTACTACCGCTTGATATTTTACTAAGAAGCAGGCAGGCTCAAGAGGGTGTGAGAATAGCTACCCACACTGAGTCAGACCCCATTGCCAGGGAATTTTTGAGATGGGGTGGGTCATCTCAAACTGAGAAGACCCCCTCCTGCTTTAATATCATAACAGCCAGACTGAGACTTCATAGATGCCCCACACAACCTAACAATTATATACAGCACTATTACCATCACCAGGATGTAGACATCTTCCAACCTACGAAGGCAACCATCCATGACGAAGATTTTGCCAACACAAAGTCCGCCCAAAGTGTTCGAATAAGCTCAGTGCTTAGTGAACAGCCGGACGGTAGGACTATAGTCTTCACAGACGGGTCAGCCTATGGGAATCCTGGTCCTTCGGGAGCTGCTGCAGTGGTTTATGTGGGTGGACTTAAATCTACACCTATATGTCTTGAGCAACCAGTCTCCCTCATAGGTAACAACTATTATGGGGAAGTGGTAGCAATAAAGATGGCGGTAGAATATCTGACAACCATAAAGACTAGCAGCAACATCCTGCTCTTGTCAGACTGCCAACCCGCTATAACAGCATCTTTTATTACTACCAAGTGTAAAAGCATCACAGAGGACATTATTGACACAAGGAAAGCCTGCAAACTGCTATCTTTACAGAACAAAACCTTAGAAGTCTACTGGGTCCCAGGTCACCAAGGGACAGAAGGGAATGAAGTTGCGGATAAAACTGCCAAGAAAGCAGCATTGGCAGCCAAATCTCTCACTGACTGTAAAACATCTAAGTCTGTAGCTTATAATAATATCAAATGTAACGCTTTAGAGAAATGGCAAAATAGGTATAACAACTCCACCAAGGTGAACTTTGTTCAGGAATTAATTCCTAAGGTTAAATTGAAAAGTCCAATTGTAAAGACAGGAACTAGGTATTATAGAAATATATGTAACCAAATTATTTCTGGGCACACCCGTTTACATGGCCATCACCATAGAATTAACCCCGATATTTTATCTCCCAACTGTGACCACTGTAACATACCAGAGACAGTTGAACATTACATCTTTGCTTGCTCTAAGTTCCAGGAAGAGAGGGAGATTCTATTGGCCAAAGTGCAACAGATACTACTAGGAGCTAAATACAATCCAGCTCTAGACCTACAAACAATCACAGGACTCAACACAAGCCTGGACCATAAGTTAAATAAAGAAATTATGAAATGCCTGCAGGCATTTATACAGAAATCCAAGAGATTTTAATAACTTATTTTTAACTCGAGTGAGATAGTGACTCTATTTTAACATCTCATTTTAATGGAAAAACACTTGCATTTTAGACTACGTTAGATAACAAGTTTTAGCGCTCTCTCTCCCAATAGAAGTAAAATAAGCACAAGTGAAAAGTACAAGTGATATTTTTAGTACATGAGTTTTAAAAAACAGCAACAAGTGATCAAAGGCAGCATAATAATGCCAAAGTGATCCCGGAACACCTTATAAGGAACACTGAAAAGGACTAAGAAGAAGAACCATAGGCTGCGGCGCCTCCTATACTTTTTACAAAGCAAACCCCAATATGTCCTCAATCTACTTATAGCTAACATTTGAATGAAGAAGAGAATCAGAAAATTAAATTTAAAGTTGCTGTAGTGAACCTGGTGCATGTCTAGCAGTTCAGCAGATTTTTTTTAAAAAAACATTCGAAAATGTTTCCAACAATTTTAGTTTCTTCTCTATAGCCTATCTGCCATTTGAATCGTGTTATTAACACAAAAGTTTGTTCGAATGCATAAAAGACCATCCTTAGATACGCCTATTCAAACAAAACTTACCATATTTAGCTGATGAGTCATAAAAATCCCCCAGAAAATGTCGAACTTTTCAACTTTTCAAAATTGCAAATGGTAGAGGGGAATCCCCAGATTTTATCACGTGATAGCCGGAAACGAGGCTCACTATAGCAACAAAACAAGTTGGACATTTTGGAAAGAAATCATTTTAATATTTTACAAAATACCTGTTTAATACATCATAATGGTGAGTATTTCACATCTGACATAGTAATTCATGCTTTAGTACATGTTCTTCTGGTATTGTCACCTGACTGAATCTAACAATCATCGTTGAAAGACAGTTCAAAGGGATTTAAAAATCAAATATTTTCTGTAGATTTTCTTCTTGATTTGAATTTTGATTTTTTTTTCCAGTCCCAGATCCAATTCAAATCCATTTTTCTGTCTGTATAAATCTTTTGTTAGATCAATGTTTTGAGAATTTCATATCTGATACACTATATAGCCCTAGATCACTACATTGGGTTCGCCTTATTCTTCGGCCACAGTGTGGCCTTACGCTATCATCAAGCCCTGTTTGTTTTATTGTTTTTTACGCTATCCCGTGTGGACTGTTGCTATAAATTAACTCAAATGTAATAAACATACCTTCATTGAACTTAGTATGTAGTCTTAGTTCATATGACCATCTACATCGGCTTTTATTTAGTTTTTTCTAAGAGCAATCTTTTGAAAAAGATCCTTCGGAAAAAATGGCCATTTTGTTTTTTGCTAAAGCGAGATAAAGATCAACCTCAACAGATGTTTTTATAAATGGCAGAGCAAATGATTTTAAGTTCAGACGAAAGCATGCAATATCTCACAAAGGGTAGTATTCGTTTACATTCTATTTGATGAAATATTCTCATTACAATTTTTGGAATAACATCTAAAAAAATCTTACTCAAGAATCAATGGTTTTCACTAGTCCAAATGCCATGTCTTCTAGCCAAGTAATTTGGCTAGAGACTTGAGTAAGGTTCGCCACTCTTAGTCTAGTCTAGAAAACTGTTCACTTGTGATGAGTAGACCTAGGGGAGATGTGTCGAACTTCGACGTATGTGGTTGGTTCGTCATGTGGCTATTTTGACCTTTGGGTCATTTTGACATTGTCTTATATTTCCGATTCACGCAGTCCACCATGTTTGTTTTTTCAAAATTTAAAAATTAAATCAAAATTTCCAATATCCAAGATCCTTATCCAAGATGGCCAACACCGGAAATATGAATTAGTGGCAATGGTCGAAATAGCCCCATGGTCAAAGTAGCTCCATGTCGAAGTAACCCCATACTTAGAAGTTCAACGCATCCCCCTGGCTACGCCCATGATAGTTATCCTTTTAACATTATTGAAGTAAATGATTTATCTCTGATATATCTATTTACTCATTTACATAAATTATGTTTTGATGATATTAAATCAAAAACTAGGTCTAATATCGATATTCTTGAAGTTGAAGTTGAGCTTTGTACATTGAGACAAATTGATATTCAAACTAACGATGAATAGACTAAATAGGAACTAAATCAGCTGGGGCATTTGATGGTAACGTTAAAATGGTATACACCTTCAACAACAATTATACATGTAACTGAGCAAAAACATTTTTATCACAGGCAAATGTTGCACAGAAATAATTTTTGAAATAAAGATAGCATCAGCCATGGTAATTGATCTGTGTATCACTGGAGTCTGCTGGTTCTTCCATCTTTATATCTAAACCTATGATTTTTATTGCAGCCTCCAAAGAAAGGCAAGAAAGGTAAAAAGGGCAAGAAGTCTGCCAAGGCTAAGACTCCAACAGTTATAGATGGCATCTCAACAGAGGAAATGTCCAAAGAGCAGGTATGATCTAAAGTTTAAGATATAGATCACTTTTCAAATTCACCAAACAAAGCATTACATCATTTGATCAGAGCAATAAGCCAATATGCCACCCACTATATACACAGAGACATTCAGAGGGGTGTCCAAAAACAGTATGATGCAGCAAGAAATATGAATTTCTTATAAATCAAATCAATAATTTGAATGATATCTTAATCTTTTTATGTTTATGAGTTCAGTTTATTTTTGGGAATTCTATTTACTTCTACTTCTTCTATATTTCAGTTGGAAGAGCACATTGTGCGTCTTCGTGAGGAACTTGACCGTGAACGTGAGGAGAGGAATTACTTTCAACTGGAGAGAGACAAAGTGAACACATTCTGGGAGATAACCAAGAGAAAACTGGAAGAGAAGAAGGCAGAATTGCGGAACAAAGATAGAGAGATGGAAGATGCTGAAGAAAGACATCAGATAGAAATTAAAGTAGGAACCTTTTTATATGGGAACAGTAAACCAAAAATGGCCAAAATCACTTAAAAAGTGCTCAGAATGGTGAAAAACTGCATGATTTTGAAAGATTTTTTGGCCAGGGGAAACCCGAACTCCCTGGCTATGGGCCTGTCCTCTCTGCATGCACCCTCATAATGTTCATTAATTTGTAATTTTGTTATATAATTAAATGTGATTAAAAGACATGCCACATATTGTTTAGATTCAAACAGCATATAAAAATTTGATCAAATTATATTTACCAATTACAAAAGTTTGATTGACATTTGATTGATGCAATGTTTTATTTGATTTGTTCATCCTCTTTTCCAGGTATACAAACAAAAGGTGAAGCATTTATTGTATGAACACCAGAACAATATATCTGAGCTGAAAGCTGACAGTACGGTAGCTCTGAAGCTCTCACAAGATGAACATCGTGGCAACGAAGGTGATCTCAGGAAAGACAAACGCTCCCTTAAAGTACAGCTCAAAGAACAAGAGCTGGCACATGAAGATGTCATTAAGAATCTCAAAAGGGTAAGATAAAAAATGATTTAATGAGTATAAAGTATCCCTTGTGCCATCCAGTTGCAGTATCATAGCCAATGCAAGGAGCTTGGTGTACCGAGTGGGCCAAGAAAATGTTACTGTATTATCTTTTGACCCACCCTGTATATGGGAGTGAAGCCTTCATTGAGCTGATGGTACTATACATACTTCAAACAAGCTTGCATAAGGATGTGGTTGATATAACCTGTGCATCTGATTCCACAATACATAATTATCATTTTGGGTTATTACATGTACCTGAAATTAGAATTTTGCATTAAAGTACAAATGTAAAAAGAATACAGAGTAAATTGTTGTTGGCTGCCATACCAATAAACATATATCCCATGCGATCCAAAATTAATACAAATATGGAAATTACATGTAATTGATATTGAAAGTGATGTGATGAGCATCCCAAGTTAAACTTAACCAAATGTATTATTTACATAAGGTATATTGTATTAATATGCATTTACATGTAGTTTTATTTCTAATTAAAATCTTTAATATCAATATTTTATTCCAGACTCATGATGAGTATGTTACCAACATGCGTGGGGACTTTGAGCGTCAAGCACGAGAAATTGAGCAGAAATATGAAAAGAAAATGCGAGCTCTTCGTGACGAATTGGACCTTCGTCGCAAAACAGAAATCCATGAGATTGAAGAGCGCAAAAATGGACAGATTAATACTCTTATGAAGAATCATGAGAAAGCATTTAGTGATATAAAGAACTATTATAATGACATCACTCTAAATAATCTGGCACTCATCAACACACTCAAGGTATGTGCAGTATCAGGGTAAAAAATTAGTTGTAATAATGATACCTATACAGTGTTAGTGCTGGAGAATTTACTTTTGGAGTCCCAGGGACTCTATTTATTTGTGAAAAATGAGTCCCCTAGAAAAAATTGAGTCCCAAAAAGGACACAAATGAGGTTAAATGAAACTCCTGTATTTCCATTCCTCACGAAAATGCCATACTTTGGGAGGCAAAGTCAGACCAGAATGACAGATTTCAACTCTTATGTGATTAGATTAAACTCAATTGTAAAAAGCACATTTAGTGTTTATTTTAGTGTTGTAAAGTTGAAAACCTCCTAAGTTGCAGAATGGTTCAACAACATTATTTTGATTTAAACTGGAATAATATTTTGGGATGGAATATGTCAAGTCTTAACTGATTGACTAATTTAATTTTTTGCACCTATTTCAGGAACAAGTGGAAGAGATGAAGAAGAAGGAAGAAAGGATGGAAAAACAGATGGCTGAGGTGATGGCAGAAAATAAACGTTTAATAGAACCTCTACAACGAGCCAAGGAAGAGGTAGAAGAGCTACGGAGACAGCTTGCCAACTATGACAAGGATAAACAAAGTCTTTCGGTAAGTTTAGACTAATTGAAAGCCCATGGTTTGTGAATGCCTATTTTTTGTTGAAATTATCACTAAATGTGAATTGTATTAAAGGGTGAGCTATTGTGAATATTATTGTATTTTAATGCTGACTCAGTTTTCCAGTTAATAGCAGTAAATTTATTTAATGTAGTAGTACACTTTCTCTATTCATTGGAATTTTCTTAAATCAAAAGAGCATATATAGTTTGGCTAGATCTTCATGGGTATATTGTATATTCATACATGAGACTTTGGAAGAGTAAATATTAGTGTTAAAGAGAGTTCATCTTTATGTCATCATATCATCCCATATTGTTGAATTTTCAATTTGAATTCCAAATTTTTGGGGATACCGGGAGAACCTACTCCATGTACTAGTACATTATATGTAAAATGTTTCACACTTGCACTGTCTTGCAGATGTTTTAATATATATTTTAAATACTTCAGAGCTGTAAAGCACGCCTACGAGTCATGGAAGAGGAGTACAAAGCGCTACAATGGGAGCATGAAGTCTTGGAGCAACGGTTTGAAAAAACACAAAATGAACGTGATGAACTTTATCGCAAATTTGTCAAAGCAATTCATGAGGTACAACAGAAGAGTAACTTTAAGAACCTGTTGTTGGAGAAGAAGTTGACGGCTTTGGCTGATACCCTTGAGAAGAAGGAGGCTCAGTTAAATGAAGTGTTGTCTGCATCTAATCTTGATCCCACAGCCCTCACTGTGGTCACTAGAAAACTTGAGGTAGGTTACCATTTTGTCACAAGTTGTGACAAATTAATTTATCACTATTACAAAGAATTAAGTTGCCACTCTCAAAATCAAGATGTCTCAAGTTGTCCCATTCACAAATCAAATTGTCACATTCACAAATCAAGTTGTCACAATCACAAATCAAGTTGTGACATTCAAAAATCAAGTTGACACACTCACAGTACAGATAAAGTTGTCACATTCACACATTAAGTTGTCACATTCACAAATCAAAATGTCACAATCATAAATCAAGATGTGACATTCAAAAATCAAGTTGACACATTCACAAATCAAGTTGTCACATTCACAAATCAAGTTGTCACTTTCATAAATCAGGCTGTCACACATGAATAAAGTTGTCACAAAATTTAATACACTCACAGATCAAGTTGTCACATATCAAGTTACAATCACAAAGAAAGTTGTCACACTCACAAATCAAGATGTCACTTTCACAAATCAAGTTGTCACATTAACACTAATTTACATAACATTGTTTATCTCAACTGTGTTTTGTCTTTCAGGATGTATTGGATTCAAAGAACAGTGCTATCAAAGATCTGCAGTATGAATTAGCGAGAGTGTGCAAGGTTGGTAGAGTTTTTATCATCCACTGCTTGCTTTAAAAACATTTAATAGTGACGCATTAATTGATTATGTATATTTCTTGTTCATGTATTTATTGGCTACAACACTGGGTTTTACAACTTATTGTAACATTGTTTTTCACAAGCCCCCCCCCCCTCCCTGAAATACGATTTCATGTACATCATTAAACTTAATTTTGGTCATACAGTGAAACCTGTAAAGTGGAACACCTCTAGAAGTGGAACACCTCTAGAAGTGGAACACCTCTGTTAGTGGAACACTTCAGAGTCCCAAGACCAACTAATTAATGTTAAATGAATCTCTATAAGTGGAACACCTCCCAAGTGGAACACTTTTTAGATGTACCAAACCCCAAACACCTCCCTAGCGATACATTTTTAGAGTTACCAGATGTGTTCCAATTAGACAGATTTTACTGTATTTGCCCTCATTGATGTCAACTGGGGAGAAGCAATACCAAACATGATGTTCACCATTTATTTTCTATTTTCAGGCCCATAATGACTTAATGCGAACATATGAATCAAAGTTAAATCAGTTTGGTGTACCAACAGATGAGCTTGGATTTAGCCCTCTGGAGAGCACTGTGGGTGGTCAGACTCTGGGTCAGGGACCCGCAGGACTTGTGTCTGCTCCATCATAGTTTTAACATGCACTTAAGTTTACATGCCAACCTTTTAAAGCATGAGATATAATAATATGTTAGTTTCTACACTCACATGGACATAGTGTAGTCAGAGGATCATTTACTCAAACTTCAAGAAATTAAGAATTCCTAAATTAGTTGTTTTTACCATGGATACAATAGAAAGACTACCCTACTCTCCAAAATAAGAATTTGGTCTTAATTTATTATGACATGATAAAAATGGATTTGATTATTGACTATATGCCTACTTGCAGACTGATCTAATCTACTTTGTGGAATCAGTGACAGTGACAGTAAACCTGGTTGATTTTTTGGAATGTTTATGTTTCATTTACTTTTTCTGGATTGATAAAAAATAAAGTCAAAGATTACTGTGCAGATCTATGGAGGAGTCATTGCCAAACTTGGTAGTAAACACCAATGTTGCAAAAACATTAAACGATTCATAGCAGCGATGTTTCAGGTTTACAGTTATATGTTACAGTAAAAGTTCAATATAAGGATAAAAGCCATTAATCAAATGTAGATATACATTATTTTCTGTCCATTTTTGCTGTTTATTGCAATCATTTAATGATAATAAGACATTCCAGAGCGATCATGGGCTTTAATTCAACAAAGAGTATAATAAAGTAATCATTTTTAAACAATTTAAAATTGTATATATAGTTGTGTATATGTATATAAATGTACAATAAATTATATTATAGTAATAACATGCAAGTCAAAAATATTTGCTCTCTGTGAATGCAGATTTTAAAATTATGAAAATAAAACAAAAATTCAAAATACAAATGGTGGTGCTTTTTCTGGGTATTTTAATTGGAGAATCTGAGAATGACAAAGTTGCTAACAATGTTTGCAGATAAGGCCATCAAAGTTGATAAAGTTGTTTAATGTCCAAATAGAAGCTGAATCTTTAACAAATATTGGAGGTGAAAAAACAAAAAAATCCTTTATTTCTAAAAGGCAGGGTTTCACATTTATTCAATAGTAAAAATGCCACAAAACAAAATCATGGTGATGGAGTGAAACTTATTTCAGCTTGCAGTTTAATAAAAACAAGTTTACATGGTTATGATCTTGGAAACGATCAATCATAGGAGAGTGTTTTATGTATCATTGACAAGATTATGCAATTCTCTGTATTTTGAGCTTACTCATTTTGAGCTTACTCATAGGGGACTCATAGCTATATTGAGCCATTATTGCTGATGAAATTCGTATTCTAAGAACATAGGGGTTTATCGCTTCAAACCAATACTGACGATTTGGGTATATTAGTACATGGGCTTTCAACAGATCAGCTCTAACCTTCCTTGACAATTCTTTCGCTAAATAATCATACACCTAATTAGTTTCTGAAAAAGGCCAGAAAGTTTCAAATAAAGTCACACTCCTAAAAAGTTACCCCACCTTTAATTAAACATTTTAACTGTCAACTATGACAGTGACTACAATACCGTCTATTGAGAAAACAATTAAGTTGTCTTTACATCTTAAATGACATTCTATCCGGGATTCTATCATCTTTGTAATTTTCATCAGTTCATGAAGTCCCCCGAGTAGTCCCATCTCGGCCCCCCCCCCACCCGACTCCCTCCACACACTAGTGCCGTTTTGTAACACAGAGACATACCACGGTATTCATTTAGCAATTTCTTTGAAAACGTTCCCATTACAAGAAAAACTAAACATATTGCAGATTTGCTATTGAATTTTCAAACGATCATGACGATCCCTTTTTGTACACATTTTGTATGTTTTACGGGCGTGAGGGGGGGGGGGGCATTAAACATAGTACTATATTTAAACTTTGAATGACCATGAAGCAGCAGAGACATATGAACTGACAAATTATGTAATGTATAGTGCTGCCCTAAATACAAATTGGGATTAACCTACAATACATCTAAGTTTAGTCCTGATAAATTCTGTATCCACGGTCTGCATCATCTCCCCGGGACCATCTCAAACGCAGAATGGCTGAAATGTGTAATGATTGTCTATATTACTTATTAGTAAGATTTACATTTATAAAATATTAATATACATATCTGTACATATTAACAAAGTTGTTGATTTTTTTTCAAGAGAAAAATAAATATCTCTGAGAAAGAAAATCAACAACTTTGTTAAAGGCCCCATGTAAAGTTTAAACCACTTTGGCTTATATTGTAGTCTACCCAATGTTATCAAAGTGTGATATGTGAAACTTTTTTTTTTAATTTCAAAAAGTGGTTTTTGATAGACTTTTTGTTCCAAAATTTGTGAATTTATTTAAAACCAACTTTTAGAGGTCACTCATATCTTCTAATAAGCCACAATCCATACCAATGCATAGCATTCATCCTCCCATGTTTTTGCCGAAAAATCAACCGATAATCTTTCATACCTACAAGTTGAAATACGCCGCAAGTGTTTCATTACATAGGTCAATAGAGCAAGCCATCAAAATATGCTATACCCATGTGATACATACAAAGTAAATATGACACATTTATTCCATAATACTTCTGTTTTCCCAGGAAAATATGAAGGAATAAAAATCGTATTGAATCGTATAACATGAAAAAATCGTATTGTCCCCAGGAAAAATCGTATTGGAGCGTATTACATGAAAAAATCGTACTTGTCCCCGGAAACATCGTATTGGAGCGTATGGGTTTCCCGGTTATTGATAAAATGAATATGGGTTTTATTCCTCGGAAAATATTATATTGATCTTGGGCAATATGATATTGACCGAGGGAGCGCAAACAATGTGCATAATGTTTGCATTATCCAAATGTAACCGTCGTTGCGCTCCCTCGGTCAATATCATATTACCCTTCGGTCAATATCATATTGTGTCTCGGAATAAAACCCATATTCAATCCCTCCCAGTAAATAACCTATATATACAGGATGAAGAATTCTTTTGTCAATTAAATATCAGATTGAGTATGTTGCAATGCGAAATAATGGGATGAAGAACTTGAATAATTAATGTTTCTTCGAATAAGGGAAGAGGTTTGAGTATTCTGATTAGAATGTCGATATGGTTAAAAAAGCATTTATAACCAAATTTCCAAATGCAAAGGTACATATTATGATATATGTAGTTTCCGACTTGGGAATTTGATTTTTACTTTCATTTTCACATTTGTGGGTGTGTCAAATTCACTTGCGCCATCTTTTATACGCTAACTGGTATTTAAAAATGGCGAACACCGGAAGTAACATGTGCAGCGAAAATCCTGACGTATATTGTGAAATTGAAGCAACTGTACCCACTGGGTTTGAACCTGCGACCAAGCAGGAGATTCAGGATAAACTAGGGGTCTCATCTGTCGTCGAAAGAGGACACGCACTGTTTAAGATCCCTGTGAAAGATGCATTGAAATGTTTGGAACTCCAATCCGTGGACAATTTGTATGTTGTTGTGAAACATTTTGAACATATTGAATACCCCGATGATAAAGATGGTTCTCTACAAGTTATTGGTGAACTTGTACCAAAGATGGACTACACTGTGCCTTTAAATGTGTGGAAACAGTTCATACATTTTGATCATGAGGTGTCTCCACTGCCTTGTAAAAACTGGTTAGATCAACATGCTGCTGAGACTCCTTGTGGGAACATAAAAGGTGGTGAATTGGAACTCTCCGATTCTGAAAATGTTGTTGCTAAAAAACCAAAATGTTCTGAAATTGATAACATGGATGGACCAAGTGTGAAAAATGATTCCACTGTGAATACAAATTCAATAGAATCAAGCGTGTCTACCCAGGATGCTCCACCAGCAAAGCAACCATGGATCGATTCATTGCCTGCGTTCAGGGCAACATGTTATCGTACTGGTAGCAATCATGCCTTTCAATCGCAACAAGCAGCACATCATTTTGGTGGAATCCTTCAAGACTACTTCGGCTGGAATGTCAGCATGAAGCAATTTGACATTGAAGTTGTGCTCAACATAACGGGTCCCAAGGCATATGTCACAGTTGGTCTGACAAAGCAAAGTAGACATAAGCGACATATATCACATTTTGGACCAACCACATTACGTCCAACTATTTGCTTCTCTATGTTATACATTTGTCAGATACAGCCTGGAGATGTGGTTTGCGATCCAATGTGTGGAGGCGGATCCTTGCCAATAGAAGCAGCGATAAACTGGCCACAATCTGTTCATATATGTGGCGATATTCACGATAAAGCATACAACAGGGCTAAAATGAACATTGACTGTTTGAACAACAAATATGAAATTAAGGGTAAACCAAAGATTGACATCCAGGTATTTCAATGGAACACTTGCTCACTTCCCCTTCAGGATAATTATGTTGATGTGTTCGTCACCGACCTACCATTTGGTCGCCGTAGTGGTTCAAAGGCTGATAATCGTAAACTTTACCCAGATGTGCTGCGTGAATTGGCCCGGGTGTCTAAAAGAAGCACAGGAAGAGCTTGTATCCTAACGCAAGATAAACGGACCATTCAGCGGGCATTGGATGGTATGCAGAAGCTCTGGAAACGTCGCAGCACATTTTGGGTTAACATTGGCGGCCTAGCTGCGGGTGTATATTTGATCCAGCGTACGAAGAATGTTTACTCAGCAGGGAAAGACAATCGTAAAGGTGAAGATGACAGCAACAAACTTGAAGAGGACAATAGTGGAGGTGAAAATGACAATAAAACAAACAGTACAAAAGATGAAGAGAAAGTGACAGAGAACACTATTAATTAGACAGATGCCTTTTACTTATTGCTTATCTGTTTGATCAGATAGTATTGAGATAGTTTGACACTTCCAGATCTCAAATGGATGGCTTGTAAACATTTATATCTCAGGGCCAGACCATAAGAGCTTAGTATGATAAATAGTAAATGTAGCATAGTAAATGACTATTCAAGATGAAAATAGTGCCTTATTTAGTATCTTTTTGGCTCATATCTCTCGAATCTTTATACAAATAGTGACTACCATGGAGACAAATGCTGACGAATATATTTTTCCAAAGGGAATATTCTGTCCACTGTCATGTTCCATAGGCTACAGGCTGAGGGAACGTTTTAGTGGACTGACGTTATTCCACTCTACTATACCTAACCCCTAGATATGCATAAGATAATTCTGTTTGTCCAATTGTATTGTTTAGTATATTTTTGAAAGTACCTTATAACATCTAACATCATCCGATAAGCCATTAATAAGGAACAGACAAATAAAAACAAATAACATAATCATTACTAATAACTCAGCCAAAAGGGTTGCTCATGAAAACCCAATGCAAGGTATAGCCTAGTAGAGTGTATTCCTAAGGGAATTTTTTGCACTATTTTCCGAAAATGTGTCAGTCACTATTTGTTTTATTATAGCCCATATGTACACTGTAATCCTGTAATAATATAATAAATGAACATTATATCCAAGTTTATTATTTTGGCCTAAATTACTAATTAAATGAAATGCCCCCTCACACACACACAGAAAGGTCAGCTTTTTGGAAGTCACCAATTTGTCTAACAAAGGGATATGGAAATCCTATTCTTATACAGATTACAGAGTTGATTAAAGAACACATTGGTTGTATAAAATCGTCTTTGCTTCAATTTTGTCAAATTAACACCTTTCTTCAATTCTATCTTTAATTTTTCATGATACGATATTATGGGAAACAGAATCATAATCAGTCCTGTGATATTGTAAGGAATATATTTATAGGTCAACTTTACATGTTGCTTGCAATTTTGTTACTCCATATATATGCCTTTGACGTTATTGACCGTGAACAACTCTTTATATCTCTTTGGAAGAAAGGAATCCAGGGCAAAGCCTGGCGTGTATTGAAAAATCTATACGCATGTGTCAAAAACAAAGTTATATTTGGTAATTTTGGTAGTGAATGTTTCGAAGTTGAATCTGGCCTAAAACAGGGATGTGTACTCTCACCTACTCTATTTACTGTAATTATGACCGATTTGATTGACAGCCTGATCGAAAATGATATGGGTATCCCTTTCAAAGATCTAACTCTACCCGCATTGCTTTTTGCAGATGACATCGTCCTCACAGCTACCAGCGAATCTGATCTCTGTAGAATGCTTGATATTACAAACGAATTTGGTAAAAAATGGGGGTTTAGTTTCAGCTCAAAAAAGTCTAAAGTTATGATCATAGGTGGAAAAGTTAACAAACATAAAGTTTGGAAGCTTGGTGAGCTCTCCCTCAATGAAGTAAAAACATATAAGTACCTTGGCGTTTATTTTGACAAAACACTGAAAGACTCACACCATATTAATAATACTCTTGGTTTAAAATCAAAAAAGCTCAAAGGTTATATAACCTCAACCCTCAACAAACATTGTAATATCCAACGAATTCAATTTGGTAACACCATGTATAATAACATGTTCCTTCCTTCAATATTGCATGGAGCAGGAGTCCTCCTTCCAAACACAAGCGAAATGAAGAAAAATTTAAAGTTGTATCAATACCAAGCTGGTTTATCCATTCTTAGCCTTAAGTGTTCCCCAGCTTATGAAGCCCTTGTCTGTGATATGGGCTGGCGTCCAATTGAAAAGATCTTTCAAAAACGTCAAATTGACTATTTCTGCTATCTAAAGAATAAAAACTCACAAACCCTAGTATCAAAGGTTTTATCTGCCCTCTTGGAATCATATTTAATAAATAAAGAATCTAATTGGAAGTATGTTTCTAACATAGCAAATATATTAGTGCACCATGGGCTCGATAATAAATTAAATGTTAATTCTGAAGAATGGTACTCATCCTTTCTCAATATTTCCAACGAAATTACTACTAAGGAATTGTTTTCATCAATTTGCGACCGGCCATCCCTATCCCTTTATAGAAATGTTAAGAGACATGTCTTTCAAGAAGAATACCTAAAAAACCCATTCAACTTCCAAGGAGCAAGACAAAAATTCTTAGCCAGGTCGGGTTGCTTTAAATTAGAATCAGACCTTAAAAGGTGGAATAAAAGTGATGGCTTTTGTAAATTATGCCCCTCCAATTCTTATGACTCTATGTCCCATCGCCTGTTCCTTTGCCTCGTCCTCCAGGATAAAAGAAACCTATTCATTAACAATTTAATCTCTTCATGTGACGTTGCCCTTGTAGGTGAATACTTATCAGCGAGCCTTAATGATAAGCTACAATGGATTATTGGTGATTCACTTTACATAGGCACATGGGGGCAGGACCAAATAAATAAATTTGAGAAATGTGTTTACGAATTTTTAAAGGAAATGTATTTTTAATGGTTTTAACCTATTGTATGTATGTATTTTAGTCTCTTTGGATGCACACTAAATTTTAGTAGTGCCGCTGTTGTAAAAGCGTTTTATCCTAATAAATAAATAAAATAAAAAATAAATAAATATGGATCTGATTCCCACTTTCATTGGATACTGTGCATCTTTTTAATTTGGAGCTACTTATTTTGGTGGATTTGCTGATTTGAACATTTGGCGCCTACTTAATTTTGCAGACTTGCAATATTACAATGTACTAATGGTACTAATTTATATGATACTAAAATTACCAGGAAATATGGCAGCTTCTTAATTTGGCAGATCTGCTAAATTAAGTAGGACAGTAAAAACAGAAAAACTGATTATTTTTCATATAAAATTTAATTTCAATATCTTTATTTTGTACTTCTATTGTACCAGTACAAGTTTTGAAAGAGAATACAGGTTAATATTATTTAGTATTGTCATTACATACACATTTTCTTGCTTCTACTCAATTTCTAGATTGTGAAACCAAATCAATGACAAAGTTGTGTTGAGAGTTAAACAAAACAACTTTTCATTGATTTGGCTTCAGATAGTATCTATTCAAACATATTTCTGTTAAACTCTATTGAGCAATCGTATAATAGACCAGCCTCAGAAACTTGTCTTGCATTTCAGTGGCTTTTGGTTACAGAGCACCTACAGTCAATGAAACATCCTGAAATCTCACAAATGTGATTAATGAAATAATCAAACAAATGTGTTCATGTTACATACAGTGATCTCCCCAGCATTAAAGCAAGTGGGTGCTGCACCCACTTGTGACTTTGAATAATAGGCTTGCACCCACCTGAGAATCCATTTGCAGCCAATTGAAAATTAGAAAAATCATGAATTTTGCACCCACTTGAGAAAAAATCCTGGGGAGAACACTGACATAAAAAGTAAAAATCACATTTGCAATGTTTGAAATTCCATTTTACTTTTAAATGCATATTTTTTTACTTAGATTCTGACTCTCTTATTTGCACTTTAAATAATGCATCTCGTTTTATGTAATTCATTCAAAATAATGATATATTCATAACTAGACCCATGTGGTAGAAACAATACACAGAATGAAATATACGTTTCCATTCAAGACAAAATCTTAATATTAATCAAATTGGTTGGACATACACACATTTGGTTATATGATACACTTTTTGTACACTGTTTTTAAGATTTTTTTTGTATAATTAAAACAATTTATTGTGTACACTAATAATACACCTAATCCTTTACCTAGCAAATAATATAAAACTAAAAAATACTGTACACAAAAGGCAGTATTGAAACTAAATAAAAACCCAGTCCACTGTTTAGAATATAAACATGGTAAATGAATTGGAAGATAATTCCAAAACAATAGGACTAAAAACTAAGTCCATTTATGGTCCTGTCGATCTAAAACCATCTCAACAAACAAAGTTGTTCCGATTTAAAAGTTGAATAAATAAAGTTAATTTACATAGTGAGCATGACATAAGTAAAAATGTATATCTTGAAATGAGTAGAGTTATACATTTATAATGATGACATGAGACGCATGGGTCTATGGGCAGATGTATCGTGTAAGACTATATACAATGACAGAGGCTTCTATGCAAGTCCACAACATTGTGATTTAAATGAACCCAACAAGCTTCTGTAACATCAGACCATGTTGATATAACATAAACCACAATGTTGTGTCAATGCAACAAAAGACCCCAATGAAGTATTACCCCAATGATAAAATGCTGAATACTGTACAAACTCGAAAAATACAACTAAAATACTTCAAACTGTTCGATAACTACAATGGGAATATTTAGTCCCAGAGAAACTTGAACCCATTTCATTTCCATTTAAGAATTCAAAATTTCGCTAAAATAAAATTTAAAGGAGAAACATTTCAAGATGAATTCAAATTGGAAACCAGAATTCATTTAAGAAACTGCCCCTTGCAAGATCTACATGAGCTGGATTGATACATTTATAAATGCATTCATAGAGCATGAAGTTCAAATTGTAATATCACAGGTAACAAATCAAATCACACACTTGGAGGACATTGCTGTTCAGCCTTTTCAATTTAAGTTGTAACATTTAATATATGTAGAATTTAAAATAATTCCCAGATATATGTTTTACTTATAGAGTTTTGAATGTGTGAATAATCTAAGCAAAGTCCCAGATACATGTTTTATTTTGGAGTTTTGAATGCGTGAATAAATATCTAAGCAAAATGAGGTCTGAAGTAAATCAGAGTAGAGTGGAACTTGTAAATTGCAACTTGCAAATATAGACCACAAATGCAATTTTACAATTTTCACTTGTAAGACATGGGTTTTGGAACGGAATATCTACATTTTTACACTTTATATGCTGCCAGTAATATATTAATTCTATATATTTACATCTATACACAGCAGACTGACTACTAAATATTTGTTGACATAAACCCCATTAAATTGAGTACAGTTAGAGTACACTTGGTATAGTAAGAGTACACTTTGTGCCATTAAAGTACAGTTTAAGTACACTTGTACAGTTCACTAAAGTACACTTGTAACATATCTAAAAGTTACAACATGGATTTTACATTTAAAATATTTCATACGATAATTGATTACTTTACATCATTTTCACACACTAATTTCTTTAATTAATATTAAAAAACTAAACAAAATGTTATGTGAGATCGAAGGAATGTTTAATCTTAAATAGAGATTAAAATGTCTAGGACAAAATATTAAATGTAAATTTTTGTTAAAATTATAAATGTTCAGTTAAAATTTCATTTCAACATTACACCAACACTCATTTTTATGGTCTCATAGAAGTAGTAACCGAAAATAATTTTCTCCTGTTTTGTACATCCAAATTATATATAACAATGAAACAATTATTTTTTGTATATTCGGTATGGCACCTTCCACTTGCTTCAACTTAGAAACTCAGACCACATTATTTGAGGTCAAATAAATATCCTCTGCTTTGCCAATATACGTATTGTAAAATAGTCCCAATGACAGTGTACAGGGTACAATTACTCCTCAAAACCATCCACCTCTCTCTCTGCTGCTGCCTTTGATTGCATTGTTTGTATCCACATTGTCACAAAAAGTCTCATCCCATCAACCATCATATGTCATGCCACCTGTCTGGCCGAATCTAGCACAAAATAGAATATACACTGTAGCTGAAAGGAATGGACTTGTATTTCCTATTCTTATACCACATTATGTGATATCATGTAGTTTTAGAGATCTCGGCTGAATAATTCAGTCCATAATTTCTCATTTGGCATTCCCAAGACTGTCATTTTGTACCTAATTTAAAGGAGTGCTCCGTTACGAGTCCTTACTCCATTCTTAGATCAAATTCATAAATTCCTGGCCCAAAACACGCCTGACAATCAATAATAAATAATAAATAAATTATTCACTGGTCCGTGTCCATCTGCCATCAATTGATCCACTGGTAGATTTGGGCACTGGATGGAATCCTCCACAATCTCGGAGTTTTCCAGATCATATTATTAAATCATGGAATTTTCCATTGATCATTTGATTTTATACCATGGAATTTTCCATTGGTTCATTACACCACGGTGCCATTAGTATTTTGTTTCTTACTACTGTGAGGTGGAGTGAGAATTCCTGTGAATTGTTGAGCAAATACTGGACTGCTTGATTGACGAGTTTTGTCACCAAACTTCTGTAGTGACTGAGCTTTGTCCTGGAATAAAATATTGTTGCAATTAATACTAGTTTTGAGACTTACTATATAAAAATGTATTTTGTTAAGTTATTGCTTAGATTAAAGCACCATACGAGCAATCATTTTTGGTTTCCAAAAGTAAGCGAAGCTAAAAAACATGTTATCTATTTAATAAACTTGAATTTATTTTCATGAAACACAAGATATTTTCATATACAACCTTTCCTTTGGGTAGATATATGTCTCATATATTATTATGAAATATAGAAGTGAGATAGAAGAAAAGTAAGGAGCTTACGAGTAAATTCAAATCTATGCTGTGTGTCTGTATGTGATGTGTATCCTCTGGGAGAATGTTCTGGAAGAACTTCAATTCGACAGCACCATTTTCTCTTATGGTTATTGCAAATGGGGCCATCCATTGCACGCAGGCTTGTAGGTCTAGTGCACTGAAACCTGTAAAATAAAGGGACATTGTTTAAAGTTTATTTCAAACAAATGATTTCAGTAATACAGCCAAGTTCCCTTGTACAATGTAAAGAAAATACAGTAGTACTTTGATGATATTTTGATAAATCAGTTGTTAACAGTTGTCATTATGAGTCACAGTCAATATTTTACAAAGTTGAGATTCGTGGGAGATCAAAGGATTCGTGGGAGATCACTGCTATCAATCACCAAGCTGTAGTCTGACAATGCCAGTTAGTTCAATAATTAACATGTATGATAATACAGGCATTATTACAGTATTTCTGGACTGGACATACAGAGGGGAGGGGGGGGGGTTATATGTACATGCAGAATGTTTACCTGATACAGCTAGAGCTACATGTTCAGTGGAGACATGGTAGAGAGCAGATGCAGCTATCTGACTGTAGGAGAATTGGAGACAACCAAGGTCTAACATACACAAGTCCAATAACTGAAAAAATGAACAATTTCAACTACTACACTAAACATAAATCAAATCATAATACTACATCTAATCAGACTAAAGTGGTTTTTCATACAATAACAGGGAAAGGTACATATGTTTTACAACATTCAACGATAAATGTCAACCCTTACACATATATGATATCATACAAGGCATTAACATGCAAAATGTCACCACCCGCCATTTGTTGCAAACACCAACCACCGAACACCATCCACAAAGAGACTACAACAATATGTCACGCCTGGTGGCGACATAGAAACATGTAAAATAAAACTTAAAATTGTTTACAGAAATAATTAAAAAATAAAACTTAAAATTGTTTACAGAAATAAATAAAAAAAAGATTAAGGTAAGTGATTGAAAAGTACAAAAGAAGAATAAGAGGACAAGATACACTTAACACAATCACATTATAATAATATCATAATGAGCAACTTACCCTAGCTATCTGTACAAAAACATGTGAGGAATACTGGGGCACGACAAACTCCTTAGAGCTCTGGGTGACATTTTCATGATTGGCCAACTGGAGGTAGACATTAAGCCATGAGTTCACTGTCATAGGAGTCAGATCCCACTTGAGAGCCTACAATAGAAAATAATATCTTATGCTGTTTGCCAAAAGAAATTCAGCTGCTTTGTTACTTCTGATGGGTTTAATTGGACAAGTTATTTTTAATTCCTAAGGACATGATACAAGTTCAAGCCTTCTTAAAAAAGTCAGTTCATTTGCAAGTGTTACTTGGCCAACCTCAATCTCAACATAGAAAAATAGAAGTAAGCCTTTGAATCTAGGTAATAGTCAAATATGCTGATTACCATTAACAAGAACTAGAAAGAGATAAATTAGGAACATAGACCTAGCTAGTGATATTAAAGTCTTCCATTACAATAACAGATTCAATATATTGCATAGAATAGATATTTCCGATAAATCCTGCCACCTTTTGATATATTAGAGAAAAGTTGATATATTGGCTAGATTGATGTCATATTTTTCAAAATTAGCAATAAGTTATTCTTATTTTTGCATCGTTAGATTTACTGACAACATCAATTTAGCCAATATATCATCGTGGAGTGACAGGATTGATCGGAACGATCTATTGAATATCATATCTTATTTCTGCCTCTTTCAAATCCTACATGTAACAGGGCTCTCACCAAGAAATATTTAGGGTGTGGTGGAAACATCTTTAGCTGAACCGTTGAATCGTGATAAATTATATTTATGTTATATTATATCTTTTTTAAATGCTATTTTTGTGTATTCAAAGTTTAGACTGTGGAAACGATCATGATTTGCCAATAGGCTGTGGTGGGAGCTTAATAGACTGTGGTGCTGCGCCACACTCCAAAAGCCTAGTAGACTTTAGCGAGAGCCCTGTGTAAAACTGGGATATATGTGAGAGAATATAACTTACTTTGAGAGTAACTAATTCCTGGTCCAATATTTCTGATTCTGTGCAAGCACCATCTGTGACATAGGCAAATTCTGATATCTTTGGGGGATAGATCTCCTGTAAGAAAAACAACACAGCAGTCAGTTAAAATCTTCCTTGAGAGATACAAAAATGACAGGACTTATAGCAACAATGAGCATTTTTGGATGATTTTGAAGTCAGGTTTAGGTGTGGAAAAACTGAGTGCTAATAATCGGTACTGTATAGATTGATAAAGTTTTAGTTTTACGAAAAACATTGATATTTTAAACCAGCTATACTGAATGCCAAGCTTCAAGATTAGAAATACTCAAATGAAAAAACGATTTCCACTTCCAGATTCGGAATTGAAATTCAATTATGTAAAAAAGTGACATAATTTGGTAAATGTTTTTAAGTACTGTTAGAATGTATTTATAAACGATCAATTTTCTACAACATGATACATTCTAAAGTTTGCCGGCAAACATTATTATTTTTGTAAGTGTTTTCACATATTTATAAAGCCAACAATTTGCTGTACAAAATAGTGCTTGTTAAATAATTTGGACTTGACAATTAGCAAAACTATCTAATCAAATAAAATACTTATATATCCAAACAATATGTTTGATTATTAATAATCAAAAACAAGTAATCAACTGCATTTATAATTATAATCCATTTATTATATTGATAAGATTAATTTTCTTAAACCCTGATATTACATGTCTTAATGTAATCACTTTTAAGAAAACCTACGACTTTTGGGGTGAGTTAAAGCTGTAACTTAATCATGGGAAACTAATATTTTCTCGTCAAGAATCAAATCTCAAAATAATTACTAAATAATTTGTAATTTTTCAACATCTTCATAATAAAAAGAATCATGGAACTGTAATAATCTCATCCAAAGCCATGATTCATCATTTATGGTTTGCTATACCAAGAACATAGGAGTTTTTGGACAAGTCAGATTAATTTCCAAATGAGAAAATGCAGTGATAATACATCAATATCAATAAAATTTTGTAATTTCAAAATCATTGGATCAACAATTTCCCTATAGCGAGAGCCATTTTCCTGCTTGGATTATTTTGGAGGGTTTCTCTGTTTCATCTTCATGGGTACACTCATTAGGGTTTGTCTACTTATGTAACCAAGCCACTAGCTACAGGTTATGCCTTCCTATGATACTCCACAGTCAATTGAGCCCTGTAATTGATTTAATTGGACCATATCACTTTTTAGCGTGTACCAAACATTTTCTTCTGTCCTTATCCCACAGCTTGGCTACTCCAAGGATAACTACAGGCTGAGGATCCAACAATGGTTAATTTAATTGTTGACTTACCTCTAGCTTGGCTGCTATGAAGAGACATGTGATTCCTATAAGCTGAAGTTGATGTTTTTGTACGTTGTGTTGTGTTCCTAAGTAACGGTCTATGAAGTCTATGCAGAGGTAGAATGATTCTCTGTGTAACCTGTAGACCTCACATACCTACGATGTAGAGGTAAAACATCATTACACAACCATCACAGCTTTAAAGCATTATCCCCAGGATTTTTCTCAGACCGAAAATTGGTCATAATATCCACATTTTTCATGATTTTCTCATTTTCAAGTGGGTGCAGATGGATTTTCAGGTGTGTGCAAGCTTGTTTAAAAATCTCAGGTGGTTACTGCGAAGATCACTACTCTTTTATGTAGTCGAGTTATTTTATTTCATACTACTGTATATATTGAAAGTGTCATGCACTTGCACATGAGACCTTTAGTAAATAGCCATCAGTACCATATCTGATATAATGAGACTGTCATTTTTGGCGAATCTAGAAGCTATTTGTTAAGGATGGGCATGAGGTTAAGAGGCTATAATTTGTTATAGAAACTCATTACAGGTGTTCATATAATGAATGTCTAAGGTATGTTTACATTTACTTGAGAAAAACAAACAGTGGACAATGGTATCACAACACGTTTCTAAGTGTTTGAACAAAATTACTGGCCCAATCAACCGAATATCAAAACCACTATGGCCAATACTCCAATGAAGCCAAAACTGTGAATCAGGTTATATAATCTCAAATTCAGAAACCATATATTTGAAGGCTTTAAATTACAAACGATGCCACAAGTGGGATTCAACTCACCTCTATAAGCCAGTCTAGTAGAATTGCCCTCATCCTGCCTTGCAGCTGAGGATGTCTGTTTAGCACCTGATTGTCTCGCACATATAACTCATCTTTCTTTAACATAACCTGGAACACATGGGCATCAATATATACTCATTTGGTCATAAGAATATGTATTTTCAAATGTTGCCCCTTTCCATTTAAATAATGCATTTTTAAATACACACTCCCCAATTGTGTTTCTTCATCAGATTTATTCAGATTTCACCCAGTATTTAATCAGTTCTAAGAGTGTTAAGACGTGAAATATGGTTTAATATAAATTATCATATTTGTTTAATAATTAATAAATTTCCCATAAACACAGAAATGCATGAAGATTAACCAGGTGAGTTAACATAAAGATGTAATGAGATTAAGAAAGTCCAATAAAACTTTAGATTAATTAATGAGTTGATTGCAAAATGCATGATTTGGGTCTTTTAATTATTGCACTATTCTAAATTTTTCCATAAATGTAATAACTTTGTGAAGGGTCGCTCAATTCAAGCTGGCAACACATTTTTGTATATCCTAATTGAAGTCTTGAGAACAACAGGGTCGAATACAAGGGATCCTAGGGAATAACTTACCTCCCAAACTTCTTCATGGTTTGCCCAGTCGAGCATTGGCAGTGGTGAGTGGCGGAGGGATACGGGGGTAGTGAAGTGGTTCTGAAATCGGAATGTTGATCCGATGAAGTTCTCTGGTGTCTTGGGGAGATTCCTGGCAATGTTTTCACTTGGGACTAAGCTAGAGGCAACCACGGAGCTGTTAGAGATTGGTGGCATCCAATGGTTCTGCAATACGAGAAGGAAATATTAAATATACCTCTTGGACAAACCAATGTTATTATTTGTTAACATTTATTTGTTTTGTAAAGTTTTTTTGGGTCGATATTAAATCAATACCAAATGAATGGAATAAGAGAGGTTTTTTAGCCATGTGTCTAGTCAAGGATCACTGACACTTCACTGACACTGACACTTCACTACTGTATATCAAAGGGGGGGGGGGGGGGTACATACACAAGACCTTGAAGTTTTTTTGTTGCATGCCAAGTACAGAAGGCGGAAAACAAACAACACTTGCAAAATAATTATTTGTGGAAGCCATTTCAAGATTAACATCTTAATTTCATTTTAGAATTTAATTCTAGCTAATCCTGAAGAACCCATACATTTCAGAGCCAAAACTGGCACATTATAGAATCTAAGCTGGGTCTCTAGAACAAACATTTGAAGTTTAAGAAATCTGAGCTCTTGGGTAACCATCAGAATGTATACATGTCAACTATACCTCAATAAATGTTGCTTTAACTCTTACATTTTCGAGGCCATGCTTCTAATGCATATGATTGCACAACTACATTTATTTAATTTTGTGATTATGATAACACTAAATTGTTGCATTTATTAGTAATCAATGAACACTTTAAGAATATATTTCAGGAATGACACATAACTGTGAATAATGTCTTGCACGTCTAACATGCTTCAAATTATCCAGACAAAAATCTTTGAAAAACCAACATCAAGTTACATCAGGGGGTATAAAGATAAAAAACATGTACCGTGCAACAGGGTGAGATTGGAGCTGATATAGTTTAAATCAAAATATTGATTAAGAAAAGAATTACTGCTACGTAATTGTCACAGTTATAAGCAAGACCCACTCGGTGAAATTAGTTGCTATTTTTGTGATTAGAGACGTTTGCAAATTGATTGGAAAACTGCACTATCTTAATATCCATACATAATTACAACATGAAACAGAGGCCTGGGAGATTTTCTGAATGAATGAAATATCTAAATTATTTCCATTTTATGAAAATTAGGTTAAAAATAAGATTAATTTTTCCCAATCAAGATTATTTAAAGAAGGTTTATTTTAAAAAAAACTCACAAAAGTTGCTTGTAATCAAGAAAAAAATTGTGGAAGTGGAATCACAAAAATAACATTTATTTAAATTCTATTTATAGTCCCATTAGTTATGTTTGAGATCGAGATAAACTTTTCCAGGTAAACATGATCCATTTGATCAAACAAGGATCAAAGCAATATCTCAAATTCCCAAAACAAACATCAACATACAAGAGCAATAAACAGGAATGAAGATATTGATAATCCTATGAAAACATGAACTAGGACTTCCTGAAGATCTGAACATATTTATATTGCATATTTCATAAGTACTTATTCCGAGATAATTAAGGTGTTGTTTATGTGAAAGTGATAGCAATTAGGAAACTATTATCACTACTGATAACATATTCACAACTTATTGAACTACTGTAAATGAAACAATTCTATATTAACTTTTATATAAATGAAAATAAACAACTTTGGTGGAAATTTTATCTTTCAAGACTTATCTTGAATCGTGAATGCAACTTTTGGCTACCCGATTAACCTAAACCTACTATTTTATAGATGACTTATTAAATATAAATGGAATAACGGTACTATTCATATTTAAACGAATTGTCCATAAAATTGTATGTTAATATGGTAATATGTTGGTTGCATTCACGAATACAAGCTTAGTTCCCAAGCCTTTAACTTGGGAAGTCACTTATTAAAAATCCATATGGTTTATTGGGATTTGAATACTTGTTGATTCTAAATATGTTTTCCCTCAATCAGTTGCTTAATGCATATACCAGATTTAGTATTTTCAATCAAACCTTAAGAATTTTCAATCAAACTCCAGGACAATGTTTAACATGTAAGAGAGGGAAAGATTAGAAATCAGATTTGGATAAGAAAGACTTTCAGTTCGATTCATGTGTGATCAGAAAAGAATTTAATTTCTTATTGTTAATCTTAAGTGGGTTACCATAACATTTTAAATCACATAGAGAGGTTTCAACTTCGTAGGTGACCAATTTGGTTGTATTATGTGTGGTTTGATTACATTTTGGATCATGAAAAATTACATAGCCAAATATGATTTTGAATTCTATGATTACAGAAATCAATTAAATATATAATCTTTTTTAATCAATTTAACAAATTGCAAAAAAATAAAATTTAATGTGCTAAATACACAATTGAATTATTATTCAATCAATACTAACGCATGTATTTCATACCAAAGTATTTGTGGTAATTAGTTGTATCATATGAAAGTAACACTTTTATGGCAATCAAGACGGTTCCTTTTCTAATATTCTAAATAAACATTGAATAGGTTTTTAGCTTTCCCATGGTTTTCACAGACACAAGTCGTTTAAACTAAGACTACTAGACGTGAGATTTACACCTAGTCACAGTTCTATTCATACCAACCCAAGACTGTGCTGTTTAATACCCTAATTTACACATCCGTTTTAATTTAATGGCATCATGGACAATGAGAAAAATATATTTTTGGTATTGTAGCATATCATGTATTATATAAGAAGCAAACAGATTTATTTCTTGATGTGACTACTGCAAATTCCCAAACCAACCTACTAAATGTTTATGCATTGAAAAAATGACACCAAATTCTATATCAAATATGAGGTTAGCAAACAAATCCACACGCCATTTTACAATTGAAAGTCCCAATGAAATAAATAAAAATGAATACAACAATGTGATTGTGGTTGGAATGCTAACCACAGCAGATGTTATAGATATATCAAAGGTGCAAGAGACAAACAACAAGGAGAGATCAGACAAACACAAGGACAATAGCTAAATAAACTTATTTCACCTGCAATGCATCGTTATATGAGCAAACTTAGCATCACATAAAAACCCTGTCAATATCCCACATAAACCTAGTATTGCATAAAAACCCTGTTCGCACCCCATACAAACTTAGCATCACCTCAAAATCCTGTCCATACCCCACACAAACCTAGTATTGCATCAAAACCCTGTTCATGCCTATACAAATCATGTATTGTATCAAAACCATAAACATACCCCCACAGAAAAATTATAAATTACATCAACCCTTTACATATACCCCTCCAGCTCCCAAATCCTTCTTACCACATTCACACACCCATTGACATTTAAAAATAAAGCCCCAGCTACCTCCATTAAAATCATTATAATCTAAAGTATAAAGATATGATAGCACATTGTAATTGTATGTAATTGCTTTCTCAGTCATGGATCACTGACAAAAAGATTGGCAAGTTATTACATAAAGGAATTAAAATGATAAAAATACACTAATCAATTTTCAAAAAAATGGACAAAAGCCATACATAAGTATGGCCTACATCCATTCTGTTCAACTTTGAAAAAAGGTGTTTTATGTAACTTTTAACAGAAGGTGTAACAATCATTGTGTCAGTAGTCTTAGAGCAAACTGACCCATGAACCAGGCCAAGTACAATTATGAGCATAAGATAGAGGTGTGAAGAGCAATCAGAAGAGCACACTGGATGATCCTTGATTGCAAATAGTTTAGCCAAGGTATTATCTATGAACAATTAGTGTCAAATATAAACAGATACACTGTAACAAGCTCTGGCACTGAACAAATTTGTAAACTGGACAGTTGTCTTATTATGCAAAGTTAACCAAACCCCAAATTTCATTTATGGCATTTTCACAGACAAAGTTATATCCAATATAATAATTCTCATTTGTTTGCCATCCATTTGTTTACTGTTATATCTAAGGCATCGTAAAACACTCAGACAATACATGGGGTATTAAAGACTGACAATTAACATTATCTAACTATTGTATGAAATTGAGACGTATGCCTGATACCAGTTACCAGGAATACTTATCTAGCAGATAAGTTCAGTTTTTCACAAACATCACGGAGACTCCCGCTGATACCTCAGACAGATTAGTCACTTATGTCACAAAACCAATTGTTGTTTTTGGCTCATTATTAATATTTATGCCAAATTAGATTATATACAACAAGTGAATCAGACATCCTTGTTTTTTTTAAAACTGAACCCCAGGAAATGCAAACATGACATTGTCAAGAAACATCAAATCCCCCAGTCTCGTAAACTGAATCTGACTGAATCATGCACTAAGTCCATTGATACAGGTTCTAATTAAATTTGTGCCGCCCACTGCATTGAGTGATATCAAAATTTAGCATTTCACAACATAGAATTTCACACATTAACTTATCAATTTACTTGAGCATAATTTAGCATAGAAAGTTATGAAATCCAGGACCATGTTTATAAACTGGAACCACCATTGAAATTACAATGTCAAAATTTTGACCTAAAGTTGAGCTAATTTTTCTGCAACATCAAGTCATCAACGATAATGCAAATAAAGATGGGTGTTCAGTAACATGAATTCTATGTAATGCAATGAAGAATTATGATGCTAACTTCACTGTCACAAATAAATTGAAGTTTATTTGAGGATACCATTATTTGGCGGGACCGCCCAATATGGCGGGAAGGGTGGGAATTTCGCTCCAAAAACACTGTCAGAGTGATAATCTATAAAATTTCTCACCTGAATCTCAAAATGTTGTCTTCTGTTATCGACTGCCATTTCTGTTTCTGGTTCCTAAAATGATATAAACGATCTTGTCAGGACGAGATTTCGAGATCAAACTTTCGGAAAGTAAACAGAGACCATCTTGAAAACTGCCACAAATCGAGCGAAAATACTAAAGAAATACTCACTTCTTCAGCTTTTCTCTTTCTTGTGGCAAGGATGAAAGGCCTGTCTACAGATTCCCTTTTCTGCTTGCCCTGCAATCGCCCACTATAAAAAGGAATCGGAGGATAATTCGAGCCATATAGAAAATGATTCAAAACAAAATGGCCGAAATCGACAAAGAAAACAAATTTCTTACCTTTTCCTAGGCATCGTTTTCTTCTTGATTATCCAATAGATTACCCTAAACAGAGAAGAAAACACGTCTTAAGATATTGTTCCAGACGTCTGATGTTAAATTATTGTCCAAATCCTCAGATTACACGAGGAATACTTGGCGTTTTAGATGTATGGTTTCGGCGCTAACTTCTCAAAAGTTATCAACAAAATTTTTAGCGCCGAAAAGAATTCACTTTTTGGAATCGTTATATCTTCTGATTTCTGAATGAAACTTGCTCACCTAAATCTACAATTCGTTTAACAGTGGCTCAAATGTCCTTTTCATTAACAAATTTCTTCCCGATTAGTGATACAATACTGCTTCTCGAAGGTTTTTGAGCGGACTAAAATTTTTGCAGCTTTCTCCAGCCAGGTCCCGCCAAATGGTGCTCTGCGCATATGTACTGCGCATACAGCTGTTGTTGTATGAGAGATAGGATTGCCCGCGTAAAATGTGTTTTAATATTAAATTTTAGGCTTATAACATAAGACTGGACTGAGAAAGAAGCTAATATATCTACAAGGTATCGTTTGCCATAGCTACGATAAAATAAATAGCAGTGATTAGTTTGGCAACATCTCGGATTTGGGGACCCGCCATTTTCAAACAATTCAGGAAGTGATAATTCCACCTGCAACTTTTTCTGTAAATCACTACTTTTACACGATCTGTGAGTATATGATGTGGATGTGTACATGCAAGACATACATTTATGTAATTAAGTCTGATGAAAATGGTCTGACAAGATGGATGGCTGTGCTTTTGACACATTTAGAGACATGTGAGCCGATGTAAACATTGGAATGCAGATGCAGGAAAGAAGTTGTAATATCTCGTTCAGATGTTTACAAAATCAACTGATATCGTTTAACAATGTTTATTACTATTCTGTTCTTATTTATGTGTTCGAAATAATGTCAATCAGTGAGTATTTCATGCGATATACAGTAAAAGAAGTATTTGTTTATAAAATGAATGAAATAAATGTCGTCAAGGCGCATGCGCCAAACAAAACCAAAAGCCTCTGATTGGTCAAAAGTTTGGGGTCAAGTGTACTTAGCGTAAAAGGTCACATAGTGTACTATAAACTTGAAAAGTTTGAAAACTTTTTTGTTTTTCAATTTCAGTCTACGTTTTCTTCAGAAACCAACAAAACACGGTGAAAAGAATGTCATTGGGCTTCAGACAGTTGTTCCCACGAGGTAGAAGTGTTGTCATTGGGATGATACACCTCAGAGCTCTACCAGGTAATAACAGAGAATTGTGACTCTGAATTTGGATCTGAAAGCAATCTTGAGTCTTTGTTGCAATTCTATTGAATATAAATACTCCTATAAAAACCTCACATTTAATTGTTATATTTCTTGTGACATCACTTAAAATTAAATGAGGAATTGGATGTCCTTACTATGATATATTCAAAGACCACTAATGGACCATTCCTCCCAAAAGAAGATTGTCAGGACTCCAGTTAGAAGTGCTCTAGATCAGAATGCATGACATACTAAGATACCTTTTTAATTTCAGGTACCCCAAGGAACAGGAAGTCAATTGGAGAAATCAGTGAAATAGCTTGTAAAGAAGCCAATATGTATGCTGAGTCAGGAATAGTAAGTAAAAGTCAATGAAAAACCAATTGTAACAATTTTAATCAATTGTATCAATATACTTGTGTGAAAAATGAACACCCTGCAATTCGGAACAATTATAATATATGATAGATAAAAGAAAGATTCATGAAAAAGAATCCAGATCAATTTTAAATATCATTGTTCGAAAAAGTTACCTATTTTCTGTCTCTGAGTTCTGTCTCAAAAATTCCCAAATTTTTAATTTGTAACAACCTCCAGTTTTCATCAACAATAGACTGACACAAAGCTTGCTCTCCTAGTTAGCAGCATTACATGTGCAAATTAAAAGGGGTGCATGCACCTTTTATAATTTCTAAAAAAAATTTATTGACTAACTATGAGCATTCTTTCAATCTCTAATATTTACAGAAAATAAGGTTTGTAATGATGATAGTGCAGGAAACAGGATATTCAGACTGTTTTTATGTTAAAGTGAACTTTTTTATCGATGGTGTTTGGTGTTCAGTGGTCAAAATCTGTAACAAATGGCAGGTAGTGACATTTTGCATGTTAGTGTATATATATGCACTTAGCTTGAGCACTTGGTTTGGAGAGTTTTATGTTTGTCTAATATTTTGTGTCTGTAAGGAAAGCCAAAATCCATGCTTGAAATTAGGTAAATGACAATATCTGTTACCTGGAAACTCAATGACAACCAAAAAATAAAAATAGATCTGCATGATTTTTATGATTATGATGACCAATAATTAATGAAATAAGTAATATTTTTATGTGAATTTTACCATTTTTTGGGAGAACACAAGGTTCAAAATGAAGAAATACTATAAAGCAATATGTTGGGGGCTTAATTGAAAGAAGTTCATTTCATTTCATTTCTTTCATTTTCATTTTCAGTTCATTTCTTTGTTATATATAGCAATCAAATCGGCATACATGAAAGCCATTGTGAATTTTGTCAATGCAGACTTTGATGTTTTGGGATATTCGGCATAGTTCTAAAATAAGATTAACAAGTTGGACTTTCTAGAGAAACAATATGTATATGTAGAATCCATGTGTATACACTTCCAATATCCATTTGAGATTATTTTCAGGATGGACTCATCATTGAGAACATGCATGATATTCCCTACTTACACAAATACCATATTGGACCTGAAGTGACTGCAAGTATGGCTAGAGTGTGCAGGGATGTTCGCAGCATGTATCCCACAATGCCTCTGGGTGTGCAGATACTCGCTGGTGCAAATAAAGAAGCATTGGCGGTAGCTAAGGCAACAGGTTGGTAAAATGAAATATAGTATTGTGATTGAACAATTAATGAATTTATTTGTACTGGAAATCTGAAAAATATATACCTATGCTAATTATTTTTTTCTTCAGTTAAAGCAGATAAAGTTTTAAATTGAACTATCCAGTTTTGATATACAGGGTGATCATAAGTAGTGAGACTTGGGCTGCTATTTTACCATGTATCAGTCAATTCATATGGTATTTAAACTCATTGTCAGAATTTTAGAAAACAGGACCCCAGGATGGCATTTATTAGTGGAAAGTTTCAGATTTTCGAATGGCAAGATCTTTATGACTGAGTAACATCAGTCAGTATTCTAACAATACAGGTTTTCATAATATACATAGGAATACTCACTACTATAGGCAAATCAGGATTTGCCTATAGAAAGTCTCAAATAAGAAACTCTGGTCCACATTTATGAGGGTAATACTGATAGAATACTATATCTAAGTCTAACTAATTCCTCATCGAGATATAGACTCCAGCCCCATTGGTGTGATTTTCACTATGGAACTGTCTGAAGAAACACCGTTAAGTGTTGCTAAATGTATCATTCAGGAACTAATCCTTGAAAAAATAAGTAATGCCCAATGTTTGCCTGAGAAAACCTGGATCACTTTGAAAAAGAGAATTATTTGCGAGGTCATTAACTTTCAACAGACAAAGATCTTTCTCAGCTGTATACAACATTAAAAAATATATCAGGTAGATTTAAAATAAATTCTACTCGGATCCAGAAGCTAACAAGGGGGGGGGGGCAAATTTCAAATTTTTGAAAAGATTTCCACACTTGATTGGAAAAAATATTTGGGCACCTAAATCCCCATATTGGGCTCAAATTTCGAAAATTTGTGACCCTTTTTTGACAATTTGGCCGAGGAAGGCCACTTTTTTCTGGGCTCACCCATGGCCCACCTGGATCCGCCAGTGAAACCAAAATCCTGAGTTGAATTATAAATTCTCAATTGAATAATAAATCCTGAATTAAATAATCAATGGTAAAATGGGAGTTCTTGTCCCACTACTTAGTGACCACCCAGTGTTGCCACTACTATGGCAATCATGTATCAAAGAATAAGAAACAGAATTTAAAACTGTTGATTGCTATAGGAAACCAAGCATGTTTACAATCAAGTCATAACTGTAATTTGGCGGGATTTTAGAGTACAATAACTGTAATACAATGCATACAAAGTTTAAGACCTTAACATTTATGTTCCATGGGCCTAAATGTTTACATTGTTGACATTAACTTTTACATTGCAGACCTTAACTTATACATTGCATACCTTAACATTTAAGAATGTACATTAATGTTTACATTTTAGTCCAACATTGTACATTGACAACATGGACATCAACTTTTACATCACATTGTAGACCAAACTTTTACATCACAGATTTCACTTTTTCATTGCAGACCTAAACTTTTACTCTGTTGACCTTAATTATTACAGGCCAACTTTTACACTACACATTTAACTGTAACTTAAAACTCTAAACCAACCTTTTCCATTAAGAATTTTAACTTTGCCATCTCTTATAGATGGCAGTTAACTACTAGGTTGTTCTTCACATCTGGCCCATTGGTTTGTGTGTAAATATTGCTGTTTTAAAACTTCAAATTCACTACATATATTATATCAAATAAATATCATATTTTCCTTCAAAATCAAAAGGTTTTGGATATTTTCAATAACATTTATCTTGGGAGATTTTTGGAGCAATTTTTACCTGTTAAAGTATGCTATTAAACCCACTGAATTTTTCGCCATCTATTGACAGTCCTGAAGGCCATTGCCGATCTAACTTCTAAATTGATTTAATTTTTATATAATTTTTATATTGTAGAACTTAATTTTATTCGTGCTGAGGGGTTTGTGTTTAGTCATATAGCAGATGAGGGGTTGATGCATGCATGTGCTGGGGAGTTGCTTAGATACAGGAGGACCATTGAAGCAGAACACATCAGCATTCTAACTGATATCAAGAAGAAACACAGGTAAGAATGATGGGGGGGGGGGCATAGGGGGTGTCTGAAGTTTGTCTACTACATTTTTACATTTCTAATACCATGTACCATATCCCTCCCATAAAGAATAGGACAAAGTGTACAATGAGACAATCTGTCACTGAATCATTGAGTTGAAAAAGTTCTTCTCTTAAAAGCCCATGGTCTCATACTGACCGGCTTTTGAGTTTATATCCCGTGACAAATGTTCATTCATTATATTTCGGTATTATTTCATAGTATAACATTCCTTAGTGATGGGTTAATACTGACAAGTTATTCATGTCTATATCCCATAATAAATGTTCATTATATTTTAGTGCTCATAGTATAACATCAGATGTGAGTATTGAAGAAACGGCTCATGGGGCAGAGTTCTTCCTTAGTGATGGGCTAATTCTGACAGGTTCAGCTACAGGGCAACAGGCAGATGTGGAACAACTCAAAGGTAAGTCAGTCCTGTAGTTTAAAGTCATCTCACCTCCTATTTATTTCCCAAACTTTGTTAGACAGAGATTAAGGGAAGAGGTGAGGGGGGGGGTGCAGGAGATAGATGGAAGCCTGATATATCAGGAGTTTTCATTTCTAGGCAACACCTAGAGGGCTAATAACTGTAATTATCCTACACTTAGTGTGCTAAATGTATAATAACATTAAAAAATAAATGTGATATCTATTGGCAAAATAAATAACCGGAGGATATCGCCACGATATACTCCGGAAAACCAATATGCGTAGGATATTGTGACGATATAATCCGGAAAACCCAATTTGCGGAGGATATTGTGACGAAATACTCCGCTTGTTGATTTCCCGCCAAATTGTTTCTATTTGGCATGAAATTCATTTTTCAATGATATTTTACATTAAGTACACTCCTTGTAAGTGTAGGATAATAAGAACATCCTATGATTTTTTCAGAATATCATTTTAATCTACTCGGTGATATTGATATATGCCCAGTAGTTTTAGGGAGATAAGTTGGTAAGATATATCCCATATCCTGATTTTGAGGTTTCCATATCCAGAACCTCCATATCTCTCATCATAAAAAAGTTCAAAAAATGTGAAAAAAGATTTTGAAAAAAAGATTTAGAAAAAATTGATAAAAATAAAGAAAAAATTAGAAAAAATGAGAAAACTCTACTGGGTATAGGATAAAGCAGTTATGTACGGCCGGTTTGAATATGGGGCTTATCCCTCATGGGATATGCATATCTCCCTCCGGATAAACCCCATATCTAAAAGCTCCCAGTACATAACCCTTTTTTATCATTCAAAATAACTTGGACAGATATCATATCATACCTTATGATAAAACCTATACAAAACATTTTACAACATTTCAGAATTTCTATAAATTCTATAAACATTATGCTTCCATACAATACTATGTATATTATTCCTATGCAATACTTAAATTATGCATTTGTTTCTTTTCTTCTCTCTCTTTCTATTTTCACACAAAATATTTATATACAAGGGGCGATCCATATATTCTGATAAAAATGCTCTAATTTTGCTATTTTTTCACATATTTCTCTCATTGTTTCAGAACTCGAAGATTATGTAATTACACATACAATGCTAAAATATTATAGCTATATCTTAATTTATTTTTGAGATAAGGTTGCCATGGTAACCTGTATTTAGGGTAGGCAGGTCAGTTAAATTATAACGTATGAAATAGATAGATCACTGGTCAGGATATGGGTTTTATCCTTAGGGATGATAGGATATCTTTGATTGACTTTAATGCCTTTGGTCAAATGTCACATCGAGCCTATTTGATTATAATTTGGGATAGTTGGGATTTGTTTTTCTTATTGCTTCCTTATGGTGGTGTTTCCTTGATGCTGTGATACTTTCCTGTTGGCACTTGTGCATTACATATCTGTAAGCCCATATACAGTGCAATCTCTCCTTATATTATGATTATTACCAGGAAGGATTGGCCCCCAGAATGCAATCTCCATATTTTCCAACAATGAATCTGATCTTTAAGGATGTTGATTTTCACTATAAATTTTTGATTGTGAGTATTGGTCTTATTACATTTGCGAAAAATCAAAACACTGTCAGACAATGACGACATTCTGACATATTTTCATTGTTGGAAAATATTGCATTGCATCCCTTGAAGCCAATCCTCATTGTCATAATTCTCAATTTTCTTTCCAGGAGTCAAATCGAAAGTTAACCTTCCAGTGTTAATAGGGTCAGGTATAACAAAACACAATGTTAATGACTATAGTGCTGCAGATGGTTTCATAGTAGGCTCTTATTTCAAGAAAAATGGTCATTGGAATGAAGAGTTGGATACTGATAGAATCAAACGGTTCATGGATGAAGTATGTATCTAGTCAACCATAGCCAACAGAAATTGAACTGTATGAAGAATTTTGATGCAGGGTTTCAAGAGAAATAAAAGACAATATGACATTGGATGCCACATTGGATATGGGTGCAATATTACATTGGATGCAAAGCAATATGCATGTAATGTTAAAACTTAAAAAATTTCAGAATAAAAAAGGAAAGCTTAATATGAAATTTAGAATTTTATGTCTAAAGGTCCATGTGCAGTATGGCAAGTGATTTTAGACGGTCATATCTTTCACCATGAGTACTTTCTAGGCATAGATACAGTGGTACAATATGTTTTCTTTCAATTATTGTTTGAAAATGTCTTAAAATGTGACACACCTATTTTAGTGTGCCACCGTTTCTAAGGCGTATGTCAAATAAAAAAAATAAAAAAAGTGAAGTCCCCACGATGATAATATCAATCGAACAATTCGAAAAATTATAAATAGGGACCCCATGTCAACAATTTTTTCAAAATGTTGAACTTATTTGCTCAAAAGAGGATCTTCTTTTTCTGATTTTTATTGCATGAAAACATTATTCAATAAGGGGTCTAAAACATCTTCAAAGGTAGAATGGTATTGAAAGTCTAGTTTTGAAGATAGCAATTTTTGATGACCAAAATCATGCCGAAAACAATGGATAGCATGAGTTTTCCCTATGGGAAAATAACATGGTAAATGTGGTTTTTAACTTTATCATATTTCAATACCCATCCCCTTTTCAGAAGTTATTAATATAGTGTAGAAGAAACTTTTGATAGATTTAAATTGAGAAAAACAAGATCCTCTTTTTAGAAAATAAGCCTTACATTTTTAAAAAAGTGACAAGGTGGGGTCCCAATTCATAATTTTTCAGAGAGTGGGATAGATATTTTACTATCGTGGGGATGTCAATTAAAGAAAACATATTGTTTTAATAAAAACCATTGTACATGTATTTATCCCCAGAAAATACTCACGGTGAAAGATATTACTGTCTAAAATCTTTTGCCATACTGCACATGGACCTTTTATAATTACAATTATTTAAAGAGTTATTATGTGCAATAAAATAACAACAAGATTTACACAATTAGTCCGTTTATTTCACCTCATAAGTTTAATTTTATGCTTAAATACAATTATTAGTGATACAAATCATATAACATACTAAAATAATATTCTGATATTTAATAAATGATATTCAGATAATAATGAGACAAAATCAGTCTAAGCCATTTCTAGTTTGGTATTACACAGTCTCCACCCTGTTTTTATAAGCCATACCCAGTCTTGCATTACTCAGGCAGTTTTGCATAATTCATTATCAGCTACTTCCATAATTCATTTTCAATTTTGTATCAGCCAAGTGTCACTAATTTATCCTCTGATCATCGTGATCTTGATAGTCAAAGTTTGTAAACGTCATAGTAGGTTGTCCAAAATTCACAATTGGCTTTTTTTCATAACCACTATGTTTTCGAAAGTTTTGCATTAGCCGATTCGGAAGTCAATTTTGTATAATTCACAGTCAATATGGCATAATGCTAACTATTTTCAATTCAGTTTTCCAATATCCAAAGTCAAGATTGAATATTTGATGATCATCAGGCCTGTCTAATTCCTCCAGGTTGACGTCTAACTGATAGTTGGACAGACGACACTCTCAAGTATACCTGCTCTCAGATCGGACTGAAGAAATAGTATTCTTCTTTCGTCAAACTGCGCCCAACAGTCTTGACAAATGACAAACTGAAAAAACAAAACATTTCCGAATGAAAAGCCTCGAAGACCACTACAACTGGATTTTGTCATAGTTTTGAAATATAATGAGTATTCACATTCATAACGACGCACATTATAATGCGTAAAACCTGTGTTGTAGAACACCTTTGGTATCTCTTAAAGGTGTTCCACTTACGGTTGTGTTGCACTTGGCTGTTCGTTTTTATTGTACTTGTAATTATCGTCATCTTACTTTTAACCAAGATTTGAGATTAAATCACACGATCCGAATTACGATTAACGAAATTAAGATTTACGTAGTCTACAAATTACATCATATGATTCCTGCTAATGCAAATGAAGTATGGAAGTCCACATTTTAGTCATGGATTAAGATCCATTTACATCCATTTAGACTATTTTACTATCCAAATCATATTCTAAATATGGTCTTACATTTTCCATACAACCTTTAAATCGTGTGTTTTCATCACCATTTATTGAACCTATGTGCAATGGACACGGTGTCGTCACAATATCTCCTGAAATGTAACATATCGCTTGTACATTTAAATCTTCGTTCCTTAAAATAAACCTTTAAAAATAAAAAAAATCACCCAGACATCATCGCCGCTTTAAATCGTTTTCTTTATTTCATGTTCCCATCTAAGTATTCTGACATGAACCAAATATATGGTTTACTTATTTCATGAAATTACACAAAATGGTGCTCAATTTTGAAAACTGGCACACATTTTCAAAAACTGGATACAAAATCTCAAAATGGAGCAACATTTTGCGGCCAACATTTTTTTCCTCTTTTGAAAATTTTCAGATGTGATAAAATAAGTGAATTCGGAACACTTGGGTTGTCAGAATAGTTGGTCAAAAGTCCGTACACTTGGTTAGCTCAGAAAAGTTTGAGCTCCACGTGGTTACCTCCCAGAATGATGCTCTTCTCGTGTTGGGTACCCGTGAAGTGGAATTCTAGCACTGGATCACAGTACACGAACGTCACATCGTTAAGTTCATTTGGGAACAGAGGGTCAATCTAAATAAAATCATAGGGATCACGCTATATTTGGTGAATATTAGATTAAAACGTTGAACACATAAATTGTGAGTGACAAGTTATTGTATTGCATAGACGATGTCACAGTAGTATAGTAGGAACAAGGGGTTCCCATGCACCCATAAGGTGTGAATAAGTTACATACATTTTTGTAATCCCTAGGGTGTCTATTTAATGAATTCATTTGTTAACATTGCCAACTAATGTCCCATAGTACTTTTATGGCGGCATTCAGTTACCATGGTTACGCATCTTTAGACATCTTACCTTGGTATCTTAAATCATTTGTAGCTCTGTCATTATTTGGTCTATAGAAATGATATTGGTACCAAATAAAACCTCGTTAAATTTCCAATAAATTTCTGATATTCAATTATGCAAATTATCTAATTTGCATAAATTATGACGTCATCAATCTATTTTTGGTTCAGAATTTCCAACTATAGCAACGTATCTATTAGAACTGAGGCCGTATGGCAACATTTTTGAAAGGTTTTGTCCTTTATTCTATTAGTAGAAGGTATAAGCAACATGAAAGTGAAAACAGATTCAAAATTGAGTCAGTATTACGAAAGTTATGTAACTTTCAAGGCAGCTATCGTGAATGTCATTATTTGACAATAATATACATACGTCTTACCTTGGAGTCTTGAATCAATGTAGCTTCGCCATTATTTGGTCTATAGAGATGATATTGGTATCTGATTAAACCTTATTAAATTAACTATATGGTTACAATATCAAGTTATGCAAATTAGCTAATTTGCATTAATTGTGACGTCATCAATCCATTTTTGTTCAGAATATCGTAGTATAGCAACATATCTATTAGAACTGAGGCCGTATGACAGAATGTGTGCATAGTTTTGTCCCTTATTTGATGAGTGGAAGATATAAGCAACATTAAAGAGACAACAAATCTTCAAAATTGGATCAGAATTAACAAAATTATCCAGCTTTGGAGGCAGCTACTGTGAACGTCATTGTTTGACAATTATAAAAAGAATATTAAATTAACAAAAAAAGTAACAACCATAGTTGTTTCAATCTTATTGAGTAAAAATGTGCATGTATTGAACTGAACTAATAAGTATGTGGAAAGGTTACATGCATTTTGACTATCATTCACAGGGGTCAAAACGGTTATCTCGACCCTGTATATTAAAGATCCAATCTTATAATTTACCATGCACTTTCAATGATTCATATAAATAGTATACATATAGTCTGATTTTCATCATATTCTTCATATTCTTGATTCTTAAAGCATCTGAAGTATATAGCATGATTAGAAGTGAAGATGATTCATCATATGGTTTATGTAATAATTTTAACATTTGAGATGCTATGGTAACATCACTTGATAATGAGGTTTTTACATTTCACGTTCTTAATGAGTTAAAAGGAAGTTATTCTCCCTTTGCTTTAGAGATAAATAGTCGCATAAATTTGTTTAAAATATTATGACTTAATCAATTTAACCCCCCCCCCCCTGACAGCCCCCATATTTGAAAATTTTGGTGAAACCTGGCAAAATACATTAATTATTAGGTTCCAGAAGCCCCCAGAAGCTATATGATGGCCCCCAGTAGCCCCAAGAATCTATACAGGGGCCCCAAGTGGCCCCCAGAAGCTAAACTGTGCTCCCAAGAAGCTATATGTTGGCCCCAGAAGCTGAATAGTGGCCCCCAGGAGCTATACGGTGGCGCCCAGAAGCTATACAGGAAACCCTGTGGCCCCCAGGAGCTATACGGTGGCGCCCAGAAGCTATACAGGGGCCCCCAGTGGCCCTTAAAAGCTATACGGTGGCCCCCAGAAGCCATACGGGGGCCCCCAGAAGCTATACTATGGCCCCCAGAAGCTATACAAGGGCCCCCAGAAACTATACTATGGTCTCCAGAAGCTATATGGTGGCCCCCAGTGGCCCTGGGAAGCTATATGATGGCCTCCAGAAGCTAATTAGTGGCCCCCAGGAGCTATACGGGGGCTCCCAGAAGCTATACAGGGGACCCCAGTGGCCCCAAGAAGCTAAACGATGGCCCCCAGAAGCTATACAGGAGCCCCAAAAAGCTACAGGATGGCCCCAATGGCTCCCAGAAGATGTGAAGGGCCCCTAGAAGCTATACGGTGGCCCTCATAGGCTATATGATGGCCCCAAGAAGCTAAATAGTGACCCTCAGGAGCTATATGGTGGTTCCCAGAAGCTACACAATGGCCCCCAGAATCGATATGGTGGCCCCCAATGGCTCCCAGAAGCTATAAAGGGCCCCCCAGTAACCCCTAGAAGCTATACGGTGGCCCCCAGTGGCCCCGAAAGCTATATAGTGGCCCCCAGAAGCTATACAGGGGCCCACAGTGGCTCCCAGAAGCTATACGATGGCCCCCAGAAGCTATGCAAGGGCCTGCAGAAACTGTACTGTAGCCCCCAGAAGCTATACAGGGGCCCCCAGTGGCTCCCAGAAGCTATACGATGGCCCCCAGAAGTTATGCAAGGGCCCGCAGAAACTATACGGTAGCCCCCATAAGCTATACGATGGCCTCCAGAAGCTATACAGTATCCCCCAATGGGCCACCATATAGCTTTGGGGGCCACCGTATAGCTTCTAGGGGCTACTGAGGGCCCTGTATAACTTCTGGGAGCCATTGGGGGCCATCGTATAGATTCTGGGGGCCATTGTGTAGCTTCTGGGGGCTGCTGTATAGCTTCTGGGGGCCATCGTATAGCTTCTTGGGGCCACTGGGGTTCCCTGTATAGCTTCTGGGTGCCACCGTATAGCTCCTGGGGGCCACTAATTAGCTTCTGGGGGCCATCATATAGCTTCTGAGGGCCACCATATAGCTTCTGGAGACCACAGTATAGTTTCTGTGGGCCCTTGTATAGATTCTGGGGGCCATCGTATACCTTCTGGGGGCCACTTGGGGCCCCTGTATAGATTCTTGGGGCCACTGGGGGCCATCATATAGCTTCTTGGGGCTTCTGGAACCTAATAATTAATGTATTTTGCCAGGTTTCACCAAAATCTACAAATATGGGGGCTGTCAGGAGGGGGTTAAATTAAGTTATCATATTTTAAACAAATTCATGTGACTATTTATCTCTAAAGCAAAGGGAGAATAACTTTCTTTTAACTCATTAAGAACGTGAAATGTAAAAACCTCATTATCAAGTGATGTTACCATAGCATCTGAAATGTTTAAATATTACATAAACCATATGATGAATCATCTTCACTTCTAATCATGCTTTATACTTCAGATACTTTAAGAATCAAGAATATGAGGAATATGATGAAAATCAGACTATATGTATACTATTTATATGAATCATTGAAAGTGCATGGTAAATTATAAAATTGGATCTTTAATATACAGGGTCGAGATAACCGTTTTGACCCCTGTGAATGATAGTCAAAATACATGTAACCTTTCCACATACTTATTAGTTCAGTTCAATACATGCACATTTTTACTCAATAAGATTGAAACAACTATGGTTGTTACTTTTTTTGTTAATTTAATATTCTTTTTATAATTGTCAAACAATGACGTTCACAGTAGCTGCCTCCAAAGCTGGATAATTTTGTTAATTCTGATCCAATTTTGAAGATTTGTTGTCTCTTTAATGTTGCTTATATCTTCCACTCATCAAATAAGGGACAAAACTATGCACACATTCTGTCATACGGCCTCAGTTCTAATAGATATGTTGCTATACTAGGATATTCTGAACCAAAAATGGATTGATGACGTCACAATTAATGCAAATTAGCTCATTTGCATAAATGAATATTGTAACCATATAGTAAATTTAATAAGGTTTAATCAGATACCAATATCATCTCTATAGACCAAATAATGGCGAAGCTACATTGATTCAAGACTCCAAGGTAAGACGTATGTATATTATTGTCAAATAATGACATTCACGATAGCTGCCTCGAAAGTTCCATAACTTTCGTAATACTGATTCAATTTTGAATCTGTTTTCACTTTTATGTTGCTTATCCCTTCTACTAATAGAATAAAGGACAAAACAAAAATTTTGCCATACGCCCTCAGTTCTAATAGATACGTTGCTATAGTTGGAAATTCTGAACCAAAAATAGATTGATGACGTCATAATTTATGCAAATTAGATAATTTGCATAATTGAATATCAGAAATTTATTGGAAATTTAACGAGGTTTAATTTGGTACCAATATCATTTCTATAGACCAAATAATGACAGAGCTACAAATGATTTAAGATACCAAGGTAAGATGTCTAAAGATGCGTAACCATGGTAACTGAATGCCGCCATAAAAGTACTATGGGACATTAGTTGGCAATGTTAACAAATGAATTCATTAAATAGACACCCTAGGGATTACAAAAATGTATGTAACTTATTCACACCTTATGGGTGCATGGGAACCCCTTGTTCCTACTATACTACAGCCATCTGAACTTTTTGAAAGAAACAAATAGAAAATAAAAATGCTGCGTTTTCCTAAGATTCTCTTGTTACGTTTGTATACATGCACTTGGTGCTGATTCAGTCCTAGGCATATTATACCTCATCAAAAGGATACTTCACAAGTGCTGCCTTCTCTGTGGTAAAATTCAGGTAGGCTTTCCCATCTTCGATCCACATTGCAATGGTTGCAGAGTCATTACAGCACCCGTTGCTCAGCAATCCCATATACGATGGCGCATCTTCAGGAATTTCAAAGTAGAAGAATATGGACAAAGTACCACCATAAATATATGAATTGAAGAACGGCACTTCAATAGCGTCGTTCTCTCCATCAAAACACCCCTTTTTATTGACGGGAAATCCAGGAAGTGGATCGCTATCATCCTCTATCTCAAAGTCCAGCTTTCCATGTATATCGAGGTATGTTTCCCATTGGGTGCTTCCGAAATTATCCTCGTTGTCAAAATCGAACACCAAAATGCAATTACATTGGCGTACCTCTGAAAATAAACAACACATTCACACTCTAAGTCTTTGTTTGCTATAATGAGTGAATACGATTCTAATTTAAGATGTCCAATTATTGTATCATCTGCGAAATAATTTGTAAACATGCGCCAAGTTACTCTCGTTATTTTTACCTGGGTCGCTTTCAAGAACGCATCCACACTCAGTGAGATTAAAGACCTGTCCAGAAGGGCAACATAGCAATTCTTCACTTCCGTCTTCAATCATGTAACAGCTCTCCGTAAATGAGGGCACATTAGCAATGTAGATGTCATTTTCTCTGATGCATTCCCCTTGATGAAAATAGATATACACACAAATATGCATGGCAATAATTGTTTTGGAATTATATAAATTAAGTATATTTAAAAAAGTACACCGCTCGTACTCATAAAAAATCAAGTTATTTCTAGTTGAAAGAACGGAAAGATGTGATGAGTATCAGAATGACTCGTACTCACTCGATGCGTTATATATCGGTGGTGGGGACAGAGTCGAAGGCTCCGGTTCTGAAGAGACAATATCATATTTATTTTTATATAATTATGTAAATAATATTTATGCAGTAGCGGATCCAGAAATTAACAGGGGGGGGGGGGGGGGGGTTGAGTCTGGCCCCTAAAACCCTAAATTGATCCCAAAATTTGAAAAATCAAGGCCCATTATTTGATAAATTGCCTAAAAATGCCTAAAAAAGACAAATTATGCCCAAAAAGGCCCATTTTTTGTTTGAGGACCCAAAAATTAAAAAGGTTTTCTGGGCCCATTAAGGACCAACATGCATGCCCCCTCTCTGGATCCGGCCACTGTGATGAGCATTGCATTTGGAGCATACATGATTCGATAACTATTTAATAGTACCCCAGTTTACCAAAAATGATTATTCAATGAGAAAACACACAAGGCAACAAAATCACGAAATCTTACGGGTACCTGATTCATGACAGCTTAGATCACAATCTGGTACGTGGAATGGGTAGTCACACGTCGCCTTCTCCTTTGACCATAGGAGCGTCGAAGGGCATCGGGCGATGCTAGTAGAGATGAAATCTAAAAGAGAATATTGGTAGTTGAAAAAGAGTACCTATGAAGCAGAACTGTATCTGTTCCTTGCAATATTTACTAGACACACATCTTTGATTTCCAAGGTAGTGGTTATTTGAGAACCAACATTCAAAACTTTGTGAATCAAGATGCCAGACGCAGTAGTATGATAGTATTCAGTAGTATTTAGTTAAGTTGTAGACTGAGATACAGTTTGTTCACTGTGTCTCTTATACAGAGTGCAACAAAAATACCAGATAACTTTGCATAACTCCGGGCATAACTTATAGTCTGCATGATTACTGCCTTGTTCTTTAGCACATAATAATGAGACTCCTTAGCGCAACTCCACACGAAGTTTTAGATGACTAACTAGATGCACTTTTATGAGTGTTACAAGATGTATATATCTTTGTGTCACCCTGTAATTGGACATTGTCATTGCTTCATCTATTCTAAAGAGTCATCGAGTCAGGCTAACTGTGTAGTTTTTGAGGGTTACGTGTACCTGGGTCTGTTTCACGAACCCCTTCTGTCTTGGCGCAGACAATATAGCGACAACAATCGCCTGGGTACGGGAAATAGCCTCCCCCAGTGTCGCGACACGCTTCGGCACAAAATGCTATAAAATGTTTCAAATATAACATAGATATTGAAGTATAATTAACGTTGCAATGCCATGAAGGAAACACCATTTTGCAGAAAAATCTAGATCAACACAATAGAATGTTACAGTAAATATTGATAATTGAGTAACGTAGTGTTGAAATAAAATTAAGCTCGAAATGATATAAACCAACTCAATTTTACAAAAAGTGAGATTAACAAAATACTAATGTTGAAGTCACGGTAAATTCAAACTGAACAATCTCAATGGTGTTTAAGTTGGACATACCTTCTGCGTCGAATGCTAAAGGAAAAGAAAGTAACTAAGTTAATCTGAATATGATACCTGTACATACCTAAAATGAATTTCATATCATGTTAAACGAACTATAAAGTATAAGGGATAGAGATGAGATTCTAAAAATGTCACACTTAATTATACTGTGATATATAATGGTTTTTTTCGATCATCACATAAAATGCATTCAACCCGTATTAACACACAGATAACGAAAAACACACACCTAGAGGATATGATTTTCACAAGTGGGACCGAGTATCACAGACCCTCAGTTTGACACATCAATAGTACACTGAGTTATGGTATATTTTCAAACTGGTGACGGTCGTTGGCTACCCATTTATGAATTCAACACACTCTTGGAATCACACACACATTTGCATAATAATATTCTGTGAACCAACAACAAGTTCAGAGATATGTTTGGCACATCGGGCATGGTTAAAGGGGAACAGTACAAATGTGTCATGATTTAAGACTAGCCAAAATCTGGATTTTATTGTACTTCAAAACGACTCTAATCTGGCTTAGTGGAAGTATTTAACTTTAATCATCTAGGCATTGTGTACAGTAAAAAATTGTACGGTTTACTTCATTACATTGAAATTCTCTGTTTTCACTTCCCTTAAATCGTAGACAAATCAATATTTACATCTTGGAATAGCTTCTGAATGGGTATATATAATATTGTTTGTTGCTGTCATTCTAAGAAAAGATTGCCAGTTTTTGGGGATTGCATTTTCTTTATAGACCATTCTCCTAGCACCCTGGCCACGCTTCAGTCTAGTTGACATTTTTAGACTTTTATCGAGATACTCATCCCACACCAAATCAAGGCGGGCAACATATTGTAATTCTGCCATCACGCTTGGTAGAAACAAGGCACCTTGTGCAGATCTAGATGAAGGGTTGTGATCTATGTTGTCAACAGCAGCGGTAACAAAGAGGTTCTCAAGCATGTTTGAGGGACAAACTGTCAGGGCATCTTCAAAGTTCGCAATGGCAGTTTTTGCAACTCCTGAAGCTATTGAGAGTACTCTATTATAAGATATACTAAGACCGAGAGAATATAGAGTGTCTATGAGTGTTTTGTTCCTTGTGCGGCTATGTATAGAGAGACCAAGATATATCGGTACAGGAGTTTCTTGAGATTTTCTATGGTGGAGAGACTCAATGACTGCCTTTTTCTTGTAGGTATTAAACCTGATGAGCTGAGCAACAGTCAGACTTGCCTGTGATGTGTTAGAATACTTCCCATACATTATCATGCTGAGTAACATAACCAGCAGGTTGGGAACAGATCTCTCTTGACAGCCATGCTTGAAAGTTCCATCAAAGTCTGTCGTCATTCTTAGAATCTGTTCTCTGATGATACGTGCAGCTCTTGATAAGACTTTGATATTGTCATCAGCATTTTGATCTGCCAAGGTTTTAAATGCAGGCCCAACATCTTGTTTGAAATATATTAATACATTTTTACCTTCTTTTGCAGATTCGAGGCCTTGTGTACAATTGAGTATGCGCTCTTTTAATCTGGTTCTATTCACTATTATAACATCACCAGTGATATCTTTGTATTTCTGTTTGTACTTGTTGGTAAGCTCCGATAGTTTGAAATACAGTGGAAATGAAGTTGTATTTGATCTTGTATCATCAATATACTCAAGAAGGGCCATCAAAGCTACTGCTTCATTTTAATCTTGGCTATTGTCAGCATTTCTAGCAAAGAGTATAGACCTGCCACGATTGTAGAAGGTTACTAAGCAAGATAGGTGATATTTTGCCTCCTGTGCAACTAGATCTGTAGTATTAAGTTTGACTAGGATCTTTGGGTCTCGCACACTGTTTGCATATTCACGGATTTTTTCCCCAAGGGCAAATGTAGATACAAAACATAGTTTATCAGTTTGCTGTTCACAAAATAAACATTTTCGTTCATCGCTCGAACCTGTATTCATGCTTCTACGATACATGTTTTGTGTTTCTGGGAGTATATCATCATTCATCTTTCTCTTGCTAGATACACGTTTTCTAGCACGTTCAAGTTCACTAAGTCTGCTGAATCGTCTGTGACAGCTATGGTGAAATTTTGCTTCATTTTTTAGCAGTGAAGCAAATAGACCCGAGCCATCATTTAACTTGCTTAAGTCTACTTTCATAGGCAAACAGTTCAATTCATGGAACTCCTCAAGATTGGTAGCCAGTACCTCATACGTATGTCCTTTACTTTGTATGGGATTGTTTACTGGACATCTTAGAGGTTCATCTTTTACTTCCTGACATAAAACACATCTGTTCCAGATAATGTCTTTCTCAGATTTATTTGCAGTCTCCATGGTCTTAGCAAGATATAGTCCTAACTGATCACCACATTTACTTATGAAGCACTTGTCATTATTTTATGATCATAGTTCATTTCTTTACAAAAGTATTCACACTACTTGGGTCAAATCAAGAAATTAAAACTACTAAAACCACTGCCTCACAGACTTTTTAGCAGTATTGAAAAATGCTTAAAGATGAAGAGTGTGAACAACCAAAATTGTAATAAAATCATCAAAATAGAAAATAATGTCAGTTAATTGCTATCTCATCATACAGATTCATACAGTCCACTCAAAAGCATCATTTCAATTCCAAATGAAGTTTTTTCTGAAGAAAGAATGCATATTAAGGTAAATAAAGTCAATGAATCACAACAGTAGCAGTTACAAGTTCTCTTAAAACTAAGAATTGCGTTGATTGTGCCAGCACAATCTGGAGCACAACCAGTGACACATGCTATGTTTTCTTCTATTAAGCAACTGATATTGAATTCACACCCTTATATATGTTTGAACATAACATATGTGATTGAGAGAGAATCTGATCTACAACATAACCATCTAAGCATAATATGAACATGTTTATGTTAATTCGCATAAAAAACATAATGGTAATAGTGCCGATCCTTGTTTTACACCTATTTTTTTCCCTTAGTGGGCACATAATGCATTTAAAATGATTGCTGAGGTTCAAGAGACATAAAAGTTTCATTTGAACTTAAATCTAGCACTTGTAGCTCAATACATGATTATATTTTTCATTTGTATTAACATTTGGAAAGATCGTCGGATATATTGGCGGCCATCTTGAATTTTGGGACCAAAAATTGAAATTTTTTCTTGCGGCCACGGATCAATTTTTTTAAAACTCTCTAAAGAAACTCTGTACCAAAATTCACGCTTCTATCACAATTTGAAACGTTCTGGTGGTATTTTCCCTAAATCTGTCTCACTAAGAGTCCCAATACCAACTTGATTACTGTAAATCGATACAGTAATTGCATATTTTCAAAATTTATTTTTGAGCCCTAACTCAATACTTTCACCGAAATAGAGATATGATTACAATATAATATACCAGATGAAAATGACTGTAAACCCGTCATTTATCTTGTTTTTATTTTAATGAATGTAGTAATGAAACAGGTACAGTACTCACACGTTACGAAATATACAGACGTTTATTTAAGGAATAAATAATGATAGGCCATTCAATATGGTGAAATTCAGCACGAGTTGGACAGAATGTTGTACAAAGCACGGACCGAAGGTGAGTGCATTTGTACTAACATTCTGTCCAACGAGTGCTGAATTTCACCATTCAATATGGTGAAATTCAGCACGAGTTGGACAGAATGTTGTACAAAGCACGGACCGAAGGTGAGTGCATTTGTACTAACATTCTGTCCAACGAGTGCTGAATTTCAGCATATTGAATGGCCTATCATTATTTATTCCGATTCAAACATAAAAATTAGTAAAAGCCGTGTCTGTGGAACGGGCATGAAGGAAGAATACGCATGCTGTCAAGATTCTGAAGTCGGCCGGAAAATTTTTAGAATTTGTTTGGGCTGTTCTATTTTACTCCCCGTTTTAGATTTTATACGGTGTATGCGACTGCAAACTTGAAGTCAGCCATAGTTAAATAGTTACAGTAGTTACGGAGGGAGTAAAAAAGAACAGCTATCCCCGGACAGAGCCCCAGATGTGCAGCTGAGATGTGACGTCACTCGAAACAATGCAAACTGCAGATTGAATAGAGCATGGTCGTGCATCTATGGAGAATTAGAGAACGTTCTATATTGGCTATGCTGCATTCTGATTGGTTGAGAAATTCGAATAGAGCACGGTCATGTTTGAATAATGGTTTATTTGTTATGAGTTTTATTTAACAGTTGGCGAAACACTGAACACGTTCCATCAACTGTACCTAGATTTCCTTCCAAGGATTCAGAACAACAATGACAATGCCGTCTCACCAAGGAAGAGACTTTTATTAACACGTTTGTGGTAAAGATCGTATCCTTGAGTTGTTACAGTCTACTGTCCCTTATGTTCGGTGTAAACAAGAACACAATTTGCAGAATAATAAATAACACGTGGCCTACTTTGCACAATATATTTTCACCTGAAATTAGGTGGCCAACATTAAACAAATGGAATAATTTGCGGGGCACCTGAGAAGAACTTGAATTTGCAGTTGGGGCAATAGATGGTACTTCTCATGAGATATATAGGCCATGGTAGAGACACAAGAACAATTTTTTTCTGGCAATCGATGCTTTCACTGCCTACACACTCAGTTAATTACTGATTGTAACAAAACCCTTCGCTGTGTACACAGTGGCTTTCTTGGACAGATGAATGACGCACAAACATTTGCACTTATGGTCGATATAGGGCCCAATCATGAAATGGAAATTCCTGAGGACTGTCGCATACTGGGTGACAAAATTTATCCATGCCGGTTCCCAATTATACGAAAGTATAAAATATCTTAATTAAGAAGAAAGCCTGATAACATAAAACTAAGATGTAAAAGATTGAATCGCAAAATAGGTTCCCGTAGAGTGTACGTGGAGCATGTAGCTCAAATTTGAAAGTGTTTCGAGTTAATAGGGACTCTCTTTAGACATCCAAGGGAAAAACTTGCCAGAATTGTTGAGTTATGTGCTGGTTTAAGTGTACGCAAGACAAACTTGTTTGATTTAGCTTAAAAACTGTCAATTGTGTGTGTTCTTGGCAAAAGGATTGGATGAGATTGTAAATAAATCGCTAAAATTAATATTGCAAATAGAAACTTGTCCTATAATATTAGCATAAGTCGGGATTCGATATTGTTTGTCGGTACTCGTATTTCTATATCGGTGAAAGTAAAAAAAGGTCTATATAGACTCATTGCATTGGATATTGCTGAAATACATGTACACACAACTCAATTTCAAAAGTTTTCACTCAATATGAAAATCATAAGGTTAACGATTTTAGTAACTTTTCTTACAATTTTTATTATCTTTATATATGTAAAGAACTACGTGCCTAAAAACGCAAATCTATGGCATGGACTTAAAATAAAAGAACTTCTTGGAAGCACTGGCAAGCCTAAAGAAATTCCACATTTGATTCATCAAAGTTGGAAAACTGAGGAAATTCCAACAGCCTGGTTAGAATGGCAAAAATCATGGACAGACCTCTGTTTTCCAAATTATGCATACAAAATGTGGACAGACAAAATGAATAGAGATTTCTTGGTACAGTCATATCCCTGGTTTATAGAACGATACGACTCCTACACAGATTATGGCAACATAAAACGTGCCGATGCTATGAGATATTTTTACATGTATCATTATGGTGGTATTTATGCTGACTTTGATGTCGAATGTCTCAAACCATTTGAAAATTTATTAACTGACAAAAGATTGATATTTGGAGGGATGAAGACAGACTTAAATGATAAGGAGGGTCACTATATTATGAACAACCTGATGATTTCAACACCAAGACACACTCGTTTTGGAACTTGGTAGGTAAATCAATTCTTAGAGTTTGTCAATGTCATTTGATAAATGTATATTTTTTGAAGGAACCATAAAATATGATGAAAAGTTCACGATGCTGGCTATAGTTGCGAATGAGTTTCTTGTATCAACTCTTTTCCTTCATTATAAAGCCATTATTTAATTTGCAGAAAGTATCTATTGATTCATCTAGTCTTTTTATATTTTGACTTTTTGAATTATTGGAAAAAGACAAGATTAGCGTATAAAATTTTACATATAATAAATGACCCAATGTCCCACACAGTGTACAGTTACCAAAATCAAAATGTGGTTTCTTGATATCAGTATAGCTATTTGCAAGAGGACTCGGAAATGCAGATGTCAGGTCATACCTAGAACAAAAACCTCCAAACGGTTGAGTAGATTTCATGAGGAAATATCAAGATTTAATTTATGAAGCTAGGACTTTTTTGAATACGATCTTTCCAACTTGAACTTGCAATTGCCTTATTCTGATAAATGGACGGATGAACAGAATCCCGGACAAGCGCCGCGTTGATCTCATATGCTCGGTGTCTGACTCAAAAAGAATGGTTCTGTTTTGTGCTCATCATACCAAAACAGTAACTTCCATATTGGATCAGAAATCTCAATTCTTTATCACGTGAGAAAATAAGACAAGGTTCAGGAGGAAAACACTGGTATGATTTTTGAAAAGATTACTTCCAACATTTTATACTCTAGCTATTCGTCTTCGTATTTCTTTAAATCCAGTAACTGTTGCCATGGTAACAGATACTATATGGATATATGGAAACTTATGTCTGTTCAGTTTTTACAAGGGTCACATTTTACACACTACCATACTATGGCTGTTTCTGCAATATAAACATAACATGTAAATATTTCATAATTATAATTCCATTTCAGACTTTTCATTTGTTAATGTCACGCCCTTTGGAAGGGGTTCCAGAATTTGTAACTGGACCTTTGCTGCTGATGGAAGCTATTGAGAAATACAAACAGCTAAACACTTCAGATCTCATTGTTTATCCACCTAAAGTATTCAATCCCTGGAGCTGGATTGTATCCAAGGAGACTAGTATAACAGAGTGTAAATCATTCGGTAAAATTAACAAAACTGAGCTAAAAGCCTGTCGCGGCTTTTATAATGGGTCAAATACAGTGACATACCATGCACATTCTTGGAGTTTATGAAATATGCACATTCTCGATATTGATGACATGCCATGCGCATTCTTGGAATTGATGAAATATGCACATTCTCGATTTGATGACATGCCATGTACATTCGGTATCTGACTTTACCGTTGTCAGGGTATTCCGGTGTGATATTGGTTCCGCACACCTTTCTTCACTCTGATCCCCATAGCATCTTTCTGTTTGTGTTGTTTATGTTTGGTGATTTTAAAAATCATCTTTATATAATTCTCTCGCCGGGATAATGGTAGTAAAGATATGACAATGGGATTGTACGTGTAAATATGAGGATAATGGTAGGAAAGAGATACACAATTTCTCTAAACTTGACAATTTAAAAAAAAATTCTAACGTGACATATAAACTTCAGAGTGTTGCTCAAAAAGTCTGTATTGTGCATAAATTCAGCTCAAACGTATATGTACTTCTTTCCTTTTCATTTAAAACATGGCCAGTGTAATGTTTATTACACAGTTTATTTTTAGTTACGACCAGGAAAAATGTTTTTAATGTGTTTACACAAATATACGTGTATTCATAGCTGCTCGTTCAGCCCTTGAAATACACACATTTTTGATCGTATGAATAGAGGTTGTTTTTTTGTCAAAACTGCCGGTGACCTTTATGACGCAAATATGCCCTTGATTTGAATGTGAAAGGCCATCAAAGATTGAACAAAGGACACACTATAAATAATAGAGGGTGTTCCATATGTTTCAGGAATGATGCTGTATTTTAATGGTTTTCTTTTCAATCGAGCTGGATTTATAGCAAAATGTGTCCAAATACAAGAGGTAATCAACAAATAACGCAAATAGAGCTATCTTAGAAACTAATTGGAGTTAGAACACCAAATTTGATACGTAGTATCACCAAACATTCATTATCATTGCAACAAAATCTGAGGCACAAATATAACTTAATGTCAGAGTTACGGTTGCCATAGAAACCCATGGTATGGGCACCTGAAGCAGGTCATGAATCATAACAATCAGGTTTTGAACGTCTGTCCAAAATGAATTTGAAGACACTGTTAAGTCATACAAATTTGATGTTATTTGGGTGTAAATCAATTCTGAAAGGTTTCTGTTAATTGAAGTGATCTACTTTTAATCATTATTTAATAATGCCTACCCAACAATAGCTTTGTGATTAGGCTATACATGTCGATACCAAACGATAAGATGACAGAAAACACAGGGATTGAGGAAATCAAGGTCAAGTCAGCCATACTGAAAAATGGTAGAATTGAGTCATCAGACCACCATAGAAGACAGAGAGAACTGATAAAATGCTGTATTTTAAATGAAGTGTCACTGCAAAAAACTTATGAGATGCTAAAGAAATTATTTGGTGATGAAATGGACATAAAACAATGTCTACAGGAGGTACAGTACATACGACTTCTGAAAAACCAAGAAGATCTGCTGAGGATGCTTCCCAAGTAGAATAGCTGGTTATGGTTAATAGGACTGTCACTACTTAACATGAACTGGGCATGAGTTATGAGTCTGAAAAATGATTATTAAAAAGATTGTGACATCATAAATTTGAGGTGTTTCAGGTGCCCGCAACTTAGGTTACCGTATGCTAAGTCCTTATTTTTGCTAAACATTCAAGACCTGTTTCAGGTACCCATACCATGTGTTACTATGGTAATTGTAACTTTGGCATATATCAATGTTTGTGCCTGAAATTTTTTGGAAATATTAATGAATGTTTGGTGATACTACGTATTAAATTTGGTGTTCTAACTTTAATTAGTTTCTGAGAGAGGGCTCTATTTACGTTATTTGTTGATCACCCCTTGTATGTTGTAAATAAGAATGGAAAAGTTTCATATCATGAAGCTCAATAGACTTAATGATACAGTTGCTATAGTAACCTAGAGGTAAGATAGGTGGAGCAGGTGTGGCAATGCGCAAACCATGAAATATTTGTAAAAATATTTGTAAAAACAGTCGTTTTCTGTATGAAGTGTTAGAAAGTATTAGGTTGTCATAGTTACATATTTTTCACAGTCTTGGACTGTTGTGCGTAACCTTAGTTGAACTCATCTTTTACTGATGACATTTTCAGTTTTCAAGATGGCAACTCAGTCAAAATGACCCGTGATCATTCTCCTTTGGTACCCATGACATGTCAGGTTTTTTCAATTGTGATATATTATTATATCAATGATGACAATTCTTTTTAATTTCGAGGAATTCACTTTCATTTTTGCTTTATTTCTGACTTTGATGCAACTATGACAACCTAATATTTACCCACACTTCATACAAAAAACGACTATTCTACAAATATGACATATATTTTGTCAGTTGTTACACCTGCTCCACCTACCCTACCCCTGGGTTAAATAAGCAACCATACTATTAGATCTACCGACTTTCATGATATAAAACTTTCTCAATTCATCCACAACTAACATGGACACATTTTGTGAAAAATTCAGCTAGATTGAAAAGAAAACATCTAAAATACAGCATCATTCCTGAAACATATGGAACACCCTGTAAAATGCCATCAAGCATATCAAAAATATTTTGCAACCCGAGTGATGTCATCGATGACTCACTCAGGTGGCAAACATTTTTTTTGAAAAGAATGAATTTTTGTTTTCTATGTCAATCTTTTCTAAATATGTTAAACTTCAAAATTAAATCAATGCTGATTGTCTAACCAGGTTAAAAGAAAGAATGTATTACGTTTTAGTTATTATTGTACCATTGGTTTCTATGAGAACTAAAATTTTGAAATGCATTTTTCTCTGAACCATTTTCATGGAATGATGATTTTTTCGGCAAAAAACATGTGAAGATGAATGCTATGCATTGGTATGAATTATCGCTTCTTAAACGATACGCGTAACCCCTAAAAGTTAGTTTTAAAGAAATTCACGATTTTTCGAACAAAAAGTCCTTCAAAAACCACTTTTTGAAATTAAAATTAAAAGTTTCACATATCAGACTTTGATAACATTGGGTAAGACTACAATAAAGCCTTTATATGGGGACTTTAAAACACACATTGTGACATTGACACAATTTTTGAAACAAATTACCACAGGATGATTTTAAGCTAAATTATGAATGTTGTCAAAAAGAACATATTAACACATTAAACATTGCACTTGGAATCTGGCAAGTAATATGGTTAATCTGGTATATCGATAAATTAACATGAATGACATATCGCAAATGTATGTAAAATATCAAGGGGTTGCAAAACTGCCCCCTCGGCTAACCACCAGCGCTTCTTTAATAAATGTCATGGATTTATATTTTGGGCAGATCATTTTATAAACTTTTAAGCAGTAGGTTACCAACCTTAAGTTTCTGTTGCACATTGTCCAGATGAAATCAAACAATGATATAGAACACTTTGGGGTTCCAAACTTATGGAGAGTACTAGGGAATGGGAAAACATCTATGTTTAGATAGTGTCAAAAGTACTTACTAAGATACAATGTGATATCAAATCTCAAATACGTAAATGCCAAAATGGAACATAATGAATCGTATTAAAACACAAGAATATTTAAGAACATTTACAAGCGGTTGATTTCAACTTTCCGGGTATTCCGAAAGAATTGTACCCAAATAAGACGGGAAGTATAACTACCAGATTCTGCCTGTAATCGAATTCCTAGTTTTTCTCGGAACAATGGTTTGGGACTTATTGTTGTATCAATTCTTATGGCAAAAGGTACATTAATTCCTTTGGCAGTAAGTATTGAAAATAGGAAGATGAATGGGCACTGTTTCAGATAGAATGAGGATCGCTGGCAGAAGGGACAACATAAACAACTGTTAGTTTAGCAGTATCTGGAAATATAAAAAACATTTCACTTTTAGTGTATAAATTCAGGATTTATTCTGTTTTCATGCTACCAATAAAGTGTTTCATATTAAAAAGTAAATAACATTGGTAACGAGCTCATTTTCACCCATCATGGAGTTTATTTTTCACAATAATAAGTAATAGTAATACGGATGTACTGACTACTGAATAGCCGTACACCTGACTCTTCTGTGCTATTATCAAACGTTTTTTTGTAAATGTGAAAACAACACAGTGTTTTATCAGATTTAAATATAAACAGTAAATACTATCCTTAACATACATAAAATGGCGTTGCTTTCATATGTTAAGAAAAAACAAACAAATTCTTCAATGTTTGTTCAATTTCAACACAAACAACACAATTTTACAGTGTTAAAGATACTACCTCATATATACTGCATCTCTATATAGTTCGCTCTCATCAATAGTATTCCGTTGTTTTGGAGAATACATCGGTGTCTAAGGTGTACACAAAACGGCTCTTTTGTCGTGCTGTTGTAATGCAAAGATCTGTGCATCGGTCCATCTGTCTCTACATGCAATAACCTAATAAGGAAAGTAAATGTGTATGGGAAGGCTAACTGAAACTTTATATTTCGCTGAAGCAAGAAAGAAGAACGTGAAGTATAAATGTAACTCGCAATGTAACTTGGGAACGTTTAAAGTGAGATTCCTATACTCGTAAATGATTTTTGTTGCGTTTCAGTATGAAAGTTATAGTTTCATACTGGCTAATTTAGTTGTACAGATGTGTCTGTTCGTTCTTCAAATAACTCTCTTTATGGATTTTCATTGATCAATATTATCAATTATAATGACATTTTTGTGTTTATTTTCATACGGGTGTCTGTCTGTCTGTCTCATAAAAACCAGAAACAGATTTCCTCTTTTGCGCCTCAATATGCCTTTTAACCTTTCTGTGCTAAAAACGAGAGTCATTCAATAAACAATATACTAAGCACTTACATCGTCCATCACACCATCGAAGTATGTGCCTGGGAGGTCGTTCAGTGTCCCAAGAGACAATGGGCAACCTGTCGGCACAATATCACCTGAAAATGAGTTTTATGTAGCATTATCGGAAAGCACAAATGACTACTAGATATAGTACCAGTTGAATCTTTTATTATTCTCATGTTTAGGGACGCAGATACTTCATTTTACATACTCTCTTAATCTTTAGTGAGAAATGAAATCTTTCGTTTTAACCTCACCTCCCAATGCTATATCTTCGTGAGGCTCCATGGCAAATGCTACTCTCAAAAGTGGATC